TTGTTTTGTCTGACATATTTGATTATTAATATTATATATAAATTATGAGAAAAAATTATTTAATATCTAATCAATTGATGATCTATCCATATATATATATATTTACAGCTTTGTTATTGATGTATTTGTTTTACTTCTTATGTATACGGAGTATACAGTACTATTAGAGGAAACTGTAATGAAACCAGATCGTTCCGATCTCTGACACACGAAACACGTTATATGCTTCCAGGTGCTGTAATGAGTTATACACACGGCGAATTGAAATCAGTTAACCAATCATTTGTCAATATTATACGCAGACCTTATCCAACTACATGTGGAGTGCCATTCAACTATCAGGGATATTCACAGAGGGCGTTATGTCCATGGACTTTTGTACGGAATATAGACGAAAACAGAATGCCTAGAGAAATAACTGAAGCAAATGGTTTAACAGTTCGGCGTGGAAAGACATGTCAATGTAAAGAAATTAAATTTTACACCTATGTTTTACGAACTGTCATAAGAAATGATGGCGCGTATCAAAATAGATCTATTTTAGAGCCAATATCTGCAGGATGTGCCTGTATACGCCGTCCCTCATATCGTAAACGCATAACAATGTCAAATTGTTAGAATCGATATTTGCGATTGAAAATAGAGAGGTCAATACTAACGGGAAGGAGTTCGTTAGGTACAGACTGGGTCTACTGAGACGACTATAATGATTGTAGATAAAAATCGATATTTCTAGTTTAAAATGAGACTCATTGCATCGCATTTTCATTATATTATGTTACATTAAAATTCAATACAAGGAGCTGGCAACGTGAAATTGAATTAGTTTTCAATCCACTTGACATAGTATATATCTAATAAGAGTAGAAATATCATCTTGATGCATATGCTAGATGAAATCGAATAGTTTGTAAGTTACCTAGATTATCATCCATCAAGTACTAATGGGAGGGTTGGGCGCCCGCTAACATGTTAAATCCTGCCGCCGTGATTTTGTATATTGTTATCCAAAGTCAGGAGCGTGAAATTCTGTATATCAAATTTGTTTTTCGCTTGTGGTTTTGTACATAAATCAGGCCGTTGGTTTTCTCATTGGAATTGTTTTACATTTTGTGAGATAGGGGGCTTTATAGCTTGCTATGTGTTTTTTTTTCAATGTTGAGGGCCGTACGGTGACCTATAGTTGCTAACAATTGGTTTCTGGTGGATTGTTGTCTCATTTGCAATCAAACCGCATCTCCTTATTTTAAAAGGCCTCGGAGGCAGAGTGGTCTAAGTAGTTCAACTACTGTATTATGGTCGACAATTTAAAAAATAAAATGTTACAGGCATGCTCATCATTAGGTAATGAATAGTTCCAAAAGTTTCTCAGGATACCACACAACCACTTTCTTCTGAAAATTCTGGCAATCCTTCGAGTTTTCGCTGCAGTTGTTTACCTTTGGATTCTATGCGGGAACAATATGTAGACATATTCGGATCAGATGCAACGTCATGATATGGATTAGATGGGTCCAAAACATATGGACGATTCCTGGGAATTTATAAGTATAAATATGAACTAAAGTTATAAGAAAAATATTAAGAGATAGTAACTAAAGCAATAAAAATTAAAAAAAAAAACCTTAAACAGTTTTCCAATTACATTTACAATACATATTAATGTGTCTGTATATTGCATACTTGCAAGTTAGAAAATCCGGTTCAGTGTGTTGGTCTCTTACAAAGCAGGGTTCATATTCATTAACATCGTATAAAAATAGGAAGATGTGACCAATGAGACACCACTCCACTATTAAAATCAGCCGAAAAGGGCTTAACTCATTAGATCGATACAAATCAGAAAAACAATGTTTAGATAGGCATATAATAGTTGCCATGGGAAGTTCACCAATCCATCACACCTGTAGCCAGGGGGGTCGAGGGGTTCATACGACCCCCCCCCCTTGAAAACAAATACGCACTGTTAAAGTCGACGTTCTGTTTGAATTGTAACTGTTATAGTTGAGTATAATTTTATCGAACCCCCCTCCCCCTTCCCCTCCTCCCCCCATGGAAATTCCTGGCTACGGGCCTGTCCATCATGTTAGATAGTAACTAATTCTATTGTTGAAACAGATACAATGCTGTAAACAATGCCTAGATTACTATCCGTATGTAAGTATATCTTTTAGAGTGTACTGTTTCCTCGTTCACAATAACAGCAAAGTGAAACAGAGACTCTCAATAATGACGACTTCAGTATGTATACTAAAGAAATTTATCCTGGTGAACTTACTTTAAATAAAGCTAATACTAACAATGACCACTGCCCTTTCCTCGATCTTGATATCTATATCATTAACGGAAAGCTTTATACTAAAATATATGATAAAAGAGATGATTTTTCATTTCCTATCGTTAATTATCCATTTTTAGATGGTGACGTTCCCTTGTCACCATCTTACGGTGTTTATATATCTCAACTTGTACGATTCGCTCGTGTATGTAACAATGTTTTAGATTTTAACGAAAGAAATCTATGTATTACTGAAAAATTATTACACCAGGGTTTTCGATATCACAAACTAGTCAAAACATTTACTAAATTTTATCATCGGTATAAGGACATCATTCGTAAATATAGCTCAACATGCAGACTTCTTATACGTTCAGGTATTTCACATCCAATTTTTTATGGAAATATTCTTTATAAAGCACAAAAATGTCAGTATTCTCCTCTGAAGCTAACAAAACCTTTAAATAGACTTATTAAGAAAGGATATAGTTACGATACTGTTGTCAGGTCATTAAAGATTGCATATTTTGGCGTTAATATTGATTCACTTATAGGGTCTTTGCATCGGCACTAAACACATTTATTTAAAAACCAGTTGTTGGCATGACACGGGTTATGTTCTTCTCATATATGTTATGATGGTATGATACTAAACCCCTAACGGGAAGGATTGTGCCTGATATTCATATGATGTAGACATAATCTTTCAATCAGTTTAATTGAAGTCTGGAGCTGGCATGTCAGTTAACTGCTAGTAGTCTGTTGTTATTTATGTATTATTGTCATTTTGTTTATTTTCTTTGGTTACATCTTCTGACATCAGACTCGGACTTCTCTTGAACTGAATTTTAATGTACGTATTGTTATGCGTTTACTTTTCTACATTGGCTAGAGGTATAGGGGGAGGGTTGAGATCTCATAAACATGTTTAACCCCGCCGCATTTTTGCGCCTGTCCCAAGTCAGGAGCCTCTAGCCTTTGTCAGTCTTGTATTATTTTTAATTTTAGTTTCTTGTGTACAATTTGGAGTTTAGTATGGCGTTCATTATCACTGAACTAGTATATATATTTGTTTAGGGGCCAGCTGAAGGACGCCTCCGGGTGCGGGAATTTCTCGCTGCATTGAAGACCTGTTGGTGACCTTCTGCTGTTGTCTGTTCTATGGTCGGGTTGTTGTCTCTTTGACACATTCCCCATTTCCATTCTCAATTTTACTTATTCCATGAACAATACTGTTAATGTATCTATCATTAAATAGTATGGCCGGTTTTATCACGTCAAGAAATAATAACTTGAATTTATATAAGTTATAGATAGTGCATATTGTAAGGTTTTTCTTGTCGTATAACAAACCGAGGGGTGTCAGGATTGATCAAATGAAAGAACGACCGTAGGAAGGGCTTTCTTTGGGCAATTCTGACACCCCGAAGTGTGTTATACGACAAAAACAACCTTTAAAATATGCATAATCTGACTTATGTCTTATATACCGCCAAAAACTATTATTTTCTGCAAAGATTTGCACGATTTGCATCCTATGTTACCGACCACACTAATGTGGAATATTGTTTTATTGAAGCGTCCAGGACTTAATACGCCCTACAGCTTATTTATAATAATGTGAAATAAACATTAATTAATCTAGATATAAACTTTTGAAATCATTGTTCAGTTACATAAAAATATTACTGTAATTGCAAGACACAAATGAAATGTTACGGTGTATGAAAAATACAAGTAACTATGTAAGTAATTTATTGCATCAAGTTAGTTTATGAAAGGGGATGCTATTATTTTTTTTTTCTTACATTTCTATCCCGGAAAGCATATTATTTTTCAAACAATTTTTAAACGAACTATGACGAATAATTGTTTTCTCTCTTTTGTTTGGCAATATATATTTTTTATAACTGAGAATAAGGATTAAATCTTATACCCCCCCCCCCCCCAAATAAAAAAACCCACCCAATTATAAAACACGCGGTTGTATTTCTATATTCTATAGAAAAGTAGAATATTTGTTCATTTGATCATTTGATGAAGGAAAAGGTGTTATATATACATGTAAAAAGTTAAGAACTGCCACGAAGAGAACACTGATACGTGTACATATAACACGAAAAATAAATATCCATTGGTCAAAGTATGATTTCCAATATAGTGTAAATGAAAAAGATTTGCAAAATCCTACAACCAATGTGATAAATCTGGCTTGTTTTAAAAGTGTTATGAAAAGTTTTGCATTATTTAATTCATCTTCCATAATGTCCCTTTATTGTAGCGATGAATTACCAAAACTTCGCATTATTTTGTTTTAAAGTTAAAATGTGCGTCAACGACGACTTTTTTGGTATTTCAGTCTAATAAACAGAGGAAAGGATTGTTTCTGCCTTAAACCCATCAAAGATGGAAAATTAAAAAGTAAAACCCCAATCAATTGGCAACAACACACAATAATTATCATACGAATTACATGTTTAAGTAAGTTATAGTTTTATTCAGGAAAATAATGACCTTACACAGGTCTTTATTTTTTGCCTTACAGCAAATTTCATTGAAACTTGGTATCGTCCGGGTTGATTCTTCAAAAGAAAGACCTATCGTTCTGAAAGAAAATAACTCCATATAGGTATATAGAAATAAAAGAATTCATAGAAATTAAATCAGTCACATTTCGTGTTGTTTTATGCCCCAAAGTGATATTTACACCAAATACACTCACCTGCCAAGTTCCTGTATGTAATCTGAAGGAGTATAATGATCGCTAAAGGCAATTGTGGATTCTCCAAAAGTCACAAGTAAAGCAACGACTTTAGTCATTAGTTGCTTCATTGTGAAGTTATTTGGCTCGCCATTTTCTCTCCACATATGAATTACAAGTAGTTCAATACAATAAGATGTTAACTCTACCTACAAGACAAATTGATAATCCCCTATTATCGAAATGCAAATTTATTTTTCTTCTAAGAACTACTACAATAGAGTTATGAGGAAGAACGACTGTAATCGACACTTTTTAAGTTTTACGGTTACCATCATGAATTAGTTGACCGATACAATATATATGTGTCTCAACTTACTAGCGACATGTTTTCGCAGTTTTAATTTTTCAGAGGTAGGTAGGTAGTCGTCTTATCTGTTCTTTCACCGACTGAGTCATATTCCTGATTATAACATTTTGACTGAGTGTTGATTTGCATGTCGGGTGATACCTGCATAGCAGGAGACGCTTACATTGTCGACACACCCGAGTTCAGTCGATTCCCTGAGTTTTCATTATTATCATTGATTTGTCTTCATAACTGATTAAAGAGACTTAAACACCGGTAAACTCTGTTGCCTATTTTTACTCTGATGATTGAAGTAAAATTTATGATATTGTCGTATTAACGAAAAGGATGCATGTAGATTAAAATCTGATAAAGCATTCATTTCCCTTTAGCAGACATTTGGAATTGATACATATTTTGGATTGTACAAAATCCTTAATTTTAGGTTTAAGTTTTTTATGGACGATCTTCCAGACACATTTTCATTATTGGCTGACCATGTTGATAATTGGAATGTCCTTTGATGGTTTACAAATAAGAAGGAATATATATATAGGAAAGAGGAAGGAGTATTTTAATATCATAAGATCAAAGGTCAAGGCCACAGCAGCTCTTTCTTTTGGTAATAACTTGATGTACAGTTGTGGGATTTTAATAAAACTTCAACAAGTAGATTATAGACAAAAACTTTAAGCCTATTGATTTCAAGGCCAAAAGGAAATAGATTAAGGTCAAGGTTGAAAAATAGACAGCTATATACACATTAAATGAAATACTTAAAAATCATGTTTTCAAAATAAAATCTTTTAACTATGGCTTTTAATTTGGTTGGAACATATGGGCATGTGCTTTAAAGCCATGGTTGACCTGCCGACATATTTTTCATAAAACATTTTAAGGGGACTTCCATTTGATTTGCGGATGGTTGTTGTGGAGGATTTTTCGGGACAGAATGTTGCTTTTCATCTATTATTAGGTAGACTATATTCATCTCGCTTGGAAAAATTACATTTTGCAATCATATTTTCCATTTTGTACACAATTGTCTCCTGAATTTTGTTGGGCAAAGTATTTATGTTCATCCTGTCTGGGGAAGTATTATTTAAGAAATAATTCCTTCATGTCATGCTCTATGCTCATTTAAACATGGGTAGGCATTATATTTGTCGATATTTTACACTGAGCGTTAGCGAGGTGCAAAATATCGACAAATATAATGCCTACCCATGTTAAAATGAGCATAGAGCATGACATGAAGGAATTATTTCGATTCTAATAGGACAAATACGGTATTTTTATAGGTCGAAGCGTACAAGTATACCTAAGGAATGTTTGGCTGTTCCTAATTCCTCCCAAATAAACGTGTACAAAATATACCGAAAAAACGGTTCTGCAATAGAATTATGAAATAAACAGATTTAAAAAACTTTTGATAAATAATTCTAACATTTATTATTCTAAAATAGAACAATAAATATCAAACAAGTTTTTGTTTCTGTTCAGAGATTTCTTTACGTCACAGCTCATAACGATGGTGGAAATGGCGGGTGACAGTTGCACATGAAGGTAAGACACATTTATTCCTTATTCACCATGTTAATAGTGATTGTTCCCCCAGTGATTGTAGCGTTGGTGAAAATGTTTAAATCGGACAGTGGATTTCTCGCTAAAGAGGATGAAACAGCGATCTGGCATGAATTATTCTGTGCAGATGTGGCACTAGCATTTGACTCTGTTTTGTTTTCATTCAAAGCAGAATCTGAATTGGCGGTTGCAACTCGCTGAAGTGTATTGGAAAGCTCTCTACGTTGCTTGTCAGTTGGACCTTCAATGTAGCTGTCCAAAGATTTAACATTCCGGTGTCCCGTTACAGACATAATAGCCCGGTCATCGACTCCCGCTCTTTTCAATCCTGTTGCCACAGTGGCTCTCAAGCAGTGGTTTGTGTATCTGATAGATGGACCAGCTTCTTCAGATATTCTTGACATCATACTTGCCAATTTGTTTTTGCCAATTGGTTGTGCAGCATACCATATAGTTGGTTTAGGATACTGGAGTGCTTGCTGAAAAAATGCTGTACACCTTGGACTAAGCTTTCCTAGATAAAAGTCCAAGCTAAACACTGGACAGTGAATGTCCCCAGGTTTAGCGTACATTCTTACGTCCCTTGAATTTTCTTTTGAGTCTACACCATGATGTGTTTTGTCACACTCATTGTAAGTCATTTTGTAGTACTCTTGTCCTTTGTCATCTTTACATTTTGCATAAGTTGTTTTCTTCAAATCAGTAAGCCCCTCCTGTCCCCTCCTTCCAAAATTCAGCATAATGTCCCAGAAAACTTTATTTTGGAGAGTTACTGGGTGATCAGTACTGAATATTCCACTGGAATACAGCTTTTGGATATCACCTTCAGCTACAGCCTTTTTATGTACAGTTATATCTTTCCCTTCCCTTTTCAATTTTTTCATCATACCCGTGATTACATGATTTGATGGCATAAATGATTTGTCAGTAATTATGTTAATTTCCCGATTATTAGGAGGACCAGTTATATGCCTAGAAATAGCAGATCGAATTCCGACGAGTGCTGACTTTGAATAATCAGTGCCTTGTTTGGTCTGCAAACTTGCATAAAAGTAGCACAATCTGTCATTTAGGATAGTTTCATCCAGTTGCTCAAAACTGCTGCTGTACTTATTTTCAGTTAGCCAACCTGAAATTATTTGTACCATTTTTTTACGTATTCAAGTAATTCTTATAAATATTTTATTTAATTGTGATGAATTTTATATGCATATAATTTATTTCAAAGACTTGATTCATATAAATAAATAATAGAGGACTGTATATTGCTTTATGCATGTTTTAATTTAGCGTTTTATGCCAAAAGCATGTTGGTGTTCGAGCATATTTTGTACATGTAGACTAGAGCGACCTACGTATACAGTATCCTATCAATCTTTTTATTTAGACTAAAAAAATGATATTCAGCTTGTCTTCTTTTCATGTACCAACATGTTCATGTCATTCAAAATTTTGTAGTGAAAATAAGTTATGTTTTTGCTGCTGTAATACTTAACGAAACAGTAAACCCTGGTAGTATTTTGGAAGTACACCTATCTATAGGAGGATGGGGTTCGATTCCCCACTGGGGTGTTTTGTTTACTACTTCAGCATGCTCATAAATGTTATAATAATTTATTTAATATATTTTTTCAAGTATGCTTGCATATATGATAAATAACACTACGTCAAGTACAATAAAAAAAAACAAATATCAAGGAATATTTTTATTTTAATTCTACATCTTGACAATCGAAGGTACATCTCATTTAAGAATACAACATTTGTAATTTGCATCATTTGATTTTTTTAATTTCTTGTTATTTAAGTTATATTCCATAACACTGAAGAGTAAATTTTATGTTTGAAAACGGTAAAAAAAATATTGCTAGGTTGCTGACTCATTGCCGAATACCATTAGTACGGCATTACCTCACGATTTTCTATATTTATCATTAAAATGTTTTATTGAAACCAATTTACCATCAATTTATGATTATATTTTCTTTCCAATGTAATATTTTTGCATTTTATGGTTTTTAACTCTTAGAAGTTTGACACCCCATACTGTCTGCTGGTTGGTTCTTGGCTCAGTTCTTGCCAGCGCTAACTTTTCAATTTCTTCTTTGCTAGGCAGCTCCTTAAATCTTGGCTTTTTGGCAGGTGGTTCTTGGTTTATACATTTAGCAGTTAAGTCTTCATCAATCTGAGATAGTTCCTCATCTGACTGTGACTGTTCATTATTTTCAAAATTGAATATGGTGTCCTCTGTCAATTTTGAGAATGAGGAACTAACTCTGGCATCACATATCTCGTGTCTGAAAACCCTTTTTGTTCCTCCATCAGCCATAGATTGTATTATGTACTGCCTGACAGCATTGTGTTCCATAAAGTGGTCTGTTATCTTATAAGATGCCCCTTTATAATCTACTTTAAGTCCAATTTTCAACGGCGATACTGTGTATCTATACATTTTGACAGCAGACAATGAGTCATCGGCGCGCGGACATGTGCATTTACATGGGAGGTTTGCTAAATGGACGGAACAGCCGTAACAAACGCTGCCGGTTGCAGCCATTTTCAGCCATTTTCATATTAAGTAAGCTTTTAAACACTAATAGAGGGAAATTATATGATGTTTTACATCAATAACGGATAAATTTTATGTAAGCAGTTAAAATATATGAATTTTATGAAAATAAAAATGAAAACAACGAGAATGCAAATAGTAAGTTTATGCGCATGTGTCAAACATATTTTTTGTGCTAATTAGAACACAGCTTTGTTTACAAAGCGTAATAGGGACGTCATATTAGAATCATTTTCAGTCCCTTTTACCAAACAGGAATATACCTTGCCGATTATAACATTTTGACTGAGTGTTGATTTGCATGTCGGGTGATACCTGCATAGCAAGAGACTCTTACATTGTCGACACACCCGAGTTCAGTCGATTCCCACAGTTTGTATTTGTTACATTTGGATTGTCTTCATAACTGATTAAAGAGACTTGAACACCGGTAAACTCTGTTGCCTATTTATACTCTGATGATTAAAGCAAAGTTTATGATATTGTTGTATTAACGAAAAGGATGCATGTAGATTAAGGTCTGATAAGGCATTCAGTTCCCTTTAGCAGACATTTGGGATTGATACATATTTTGGATTGTACAAAATCCTAAATTTCTAGGTTTAAGTTTTTTTTGGACGATCTTCCAGACACATTTTCATTATTGGATGACCATTTTATAAATTAGACTGTCCTTTGATGGTTTACAAATAAGAAGGAATATATATATAGGAAAGAGGAAGGACTATTTTAATATTCTTAGATCAAAGGTCAAGGCCACAATAGCTTTTTTTTTGTAATTACTTGATGTACAATTGTGGGTTGACCTGCCGACATATTTCTTCATAAAACGTTTTAAGGGGACTTCCATTTGATTTTCGGATGGTTGTGGTGGAGGATTTTTCGGGACGGAATGTTGCTTTTCATCTATTATTAGGTAGACTTATATTCATCTCGCTTGGAAAAATTACATTGTAATCATATTTCCCATTTTGTACACAATTGTCTCCTGAATTTTGTTGGGCAAAGTATTTATGTTCATCCTGTCTGGGGAAGTATTATTCATTTTCAGTCCTTTTTACTAGGCAGGAATATACCTTGCCAAATACTATGCCATAAATACGCTACAATTTTTTTTTATAGGGACTACCATTTGATTTGTTCACAATTAAATCCTGAAAATGTGGGGTAAAATATTCATTTTCAACTCGTCCACTTTTGATCCCAATCGACGCCCCCTGAAAGTAAAATTACTATATTTCCTCACTATGTAAAAAGTTATACAATAATATATAGCATCAAATTTGTTCCAGATACTTGTAGTTGTTCCCATTTTTCATTTTTGAATTAAGCACTGAGCATTAGATCAACTATCCAATACAGAGAACAAAATACTGTATTCTGCTAAAATTTCCGTTCCTTAAGCGTAATTAACATACATACATATTGCTGTTGGGCTAAAATATACCAGATTAAGATATAGCAGACAAAGGTTAATATGTTGTATCTTTAGTATTCGAAATTGTGGTATAATTTGTAAACTCACTTGTTCAGTATATTTCCAATATTTCAGCAGACATATTAAATCCTTAACCTTCGGTGGCATGGGCTTTACAAATTCAATTTGTAGTTTAGCTAATGACTTAGCATAATATTTTCTTAGATGAGGTTTCAATTCCATTTTAGAATATGTTGATTGTACTCCACCAGCGAAACCCAGAAGCCCTGAAATAGAAATTAAACTTCTCAACAGATTGTTGTTTCTTCTAGATTTGCATAACACATGCTCGATTTGCATAACACATGAGTACTAGTGTAATGAGTAAAAAATGAGCTTCACCAGAAATAATAACAGCATTTATATTAAAAGGCTTCTACTTTACCGATACGATCACGATGATTTCATAATCTGGTCAAAACAGAACACATTTTGTTTCTTAAATCAAGTAAACTTCATTTCTTGCTAATTTTACAAATAGAACTGGTAGGAAATAAACATTGTTCATTTTATGTTTTAGGCGTATATAAAACATCTATAAACCATGTTAATTTTAGATTACGTAATTATGACGTAATTCAATTTTCACTGTATTTACACTTTCTAGGGAATTCACCAGATTTTAGTATAATATGCTTATCAGGGTGTTAAATTAACACAAGCGTCACCCCAAGCCGCGATTTCCTAACAGTGAGCAGGTAAGCACAAGGTTTACCATCTTTTTTTGGCGAGGAGAGTAAAACAGTTCTCGTTTGTATAATTTCACCTTGTATTGAATTTACAATTCTTGTACTATCTATAACAGAAAGCTTGACTATGAAATATTTTAAACAAAATAGTAGAATACAAAATGAGAAGAATACAGAATTAAAAATTTTATTTTGTTATTCAAGACATTAGAATATATTTCATTTCAAGACAATTTGACCATCAATCGCACCCTCTCCTTATGAGACCAAATAAGTTTATTAAAAATGGTTGCTTCTGAAATTCAAATCATTTTTATTTTCATTCATTAAAATTATGGCAAATATAAAGATAGGTCTGAGTAACTGTTTTCATATTTGCAAAACTAGGCATTTTGGCGTGAAACGGATGTTGCTGGATTTTGCACTTCAATGATTTGTATTACTTAGTACTTTACTTAAAATTTTACACAATCGAACATCCAAGTTATTAGAAAGGTGAACCGAAATTGGAGAGCTATTTGGTTTGAATTTGTCTATTCGTATTATATATATTTACATGTACTCCATACATCAACAATAGGAAGCAAGTCTACATCGAACCATGGCGAATCATCACTGCAACGCAAATCAAACTGCAAAGTAAATGGCGTTTGACCCATTATCCGTATTTCTATATTATTGCCTTCTCTCTCCACTGCTGATTTGAGATAATCCCGGAAGTCATATAGTACATTTTCCATGTTTTCTTTTAAATGTTTAATATTCTTAAAATTATTTAACACTACCAAAAGATCTACATCTGAATGTCCTCGTATAGCTGTTCCTTTTCCTAGAGATCCACCCTGAAATCAAATACAGTATTCAAAACCCATTCTAGCTTTGAATTCTTGATTAGATAACGAACTGCCTCGATGGTTTCAAAGTAGAGTTCTCGCCTCGAGTGCGGGAGGTCGTGGGTTACATTCCCGGCCAAATCAAACCAAAGAATGGAAAATTCGTACATTTTGTATTTGCCTCACGGTTCAGCACGCTTCATATAGAAGTCAGGGCAAAGACTGGTAAGCCCGGATTCGAAATAAGGTATCCGGGTATTGTGATATGTCCCCTGTTAGGCACATACCATCTGATTTTCTGAGGGCCTTAGATTTTAGATCAAGCCAGATTTTTTTTTACTATGGAAACCAAGCATGAACATTTTTTTTTCAGTTAATCCAAAGCAAGAAAATTTTATCATACACCATACATGTCATACTTGCTGAAGATAAAGTATATTTTTTTACCAACTGAATAGGCCAGTTTATATTCATATCGTTAACATATTTTCGTCCTTAACGTGATTTTAATTTGCCACTGCACGTTAAACAGCCACCATTCATCATCATCATCTTTATGGTAACTAAGTTTGTACAGCTTTAATTCATGGTCCAAATTTCGTTATTTTATAGCAGCTCAGCATACCTTTCTCATGGTAAATTCAAAATTCGATCAAAGTGTAATACAAAAAATAATAAATATTGAATCTTGATACGTAAACTATTATATCTTACGACTTTAAAATGTAGTAACATTGAAGTTAGCCTGTTCATAGTTCTGGAATGTTAACTTTTATTGGAAAAAATGCTGTTTTTTGGCATTTATCTGTACACAAGAAATGAATTAAAGAGTAGTAATACAGTTATACAAATGTTTACAACTTTCAGCCTTATTACTTACTTTGATAACTTGGTTGACACTGTATTTTGGATGTCGATGAATGAGTCTCACCACTGTGTCTATGATCTGGTTGCAATCACTGAGAAAATCTGTATCTGGCCGAACTTCTCTGTCTAGAAATTTTTCCAATGATTCATCCGGAAGCATGTCATCGAAAAATACCATCTTAGATAGTATAAAGAAAATCATCACTCTACGATTTTGTCATGACATGATTGATAGGGGGACTTTCGATTTATATCATGATTTTGCTAAAAGCTCACAGCAAAGGAATCGTTCAGATTTACATTATACGTGTACTTGACATGATAACTAAATAAACTAATCGGGATCACCAGAGAAGTCGCAAAAGTGAATTAAGAACAATATGTTTATTTACAAATAAGTCTAGGTTGGTAGCCTTTTTCTGTTTTTAAACTATATCAGTTGCGATGGCAACACAATTAAAACGTTGAAGATTTCTTCTCCCAATTGTCTGGTTTAAATGTGTTATGTCTTTAAACATATTTATTACTTCATGAACATTACATTTAATATCTACACAATAAAAAATGAAAACAGCACGTCCGAAGCGCTTTTCTGGATGTACCTTCATGAGGAACGCCCAAAGCCGAATATTTGAAAGCCAAGAATGTATAAGAACCTAAACAGTTGAAGAGCTATATTACCAAAAAGGACCGAAACAAACAGCCAAATCCATCTACGGTCAACTTAATTTGCCCGAGGGAGTTGAAACCTTAATTTCTAATAATTTCAAAATTTATTAACGGACAATTTTAGAAAGATTGGTTATAAATCATGTCAGTACCGAAGTACTGACTACTGAGCTAATGATACCCTCGGAGACTCCTCGGCTCCTGGTGGCGTGAGATGAAAGAACAAAGATATTATTCATTACAGGTACGTATATAGCTACTGGTTGTATTATATACAAAATACGTATATCTTTGATTTTCAAAGAAATCGACACAGCTTAAATTCGGACCGCATAGAGGACTCTAAAACAATCGTTGAAAATAAACATCTAACATTACTTTTCGCTTAACATAGTTCTAAGCAGTATATCAGTGGACTGTATTTGTATCTCAGAAATAAAGCAAAATCTTATTTGTATATTTCTCAATGTTTACAATAGCTTGTTATATGCAAGATAAATAAACTTATTTTCGCATAAATTTTAATAACTGTTTTAATATTTCAGTGTATTCTAGTATGCTTATTCATATATTATATTCTGTTGTGTCACAACGACCTACTATACTTGTCAGTACTGCCAAGTTTTCATGAAGCAAATACGTGAGATTTGGCCAAAATTGTAAAGATCAAAGAGAAAAAACAATAGATCAAAGAAAAATGCCGCCAAATATGCATGAAAATGCGTGAGTCTCACTTGGCAGCCCTGACTTGTTCCATTTGTCGTTGCCAAAATCCTGTAAACTTTGCTATGTTGATGACGAATCAAATAATGCGATTTAACACTGGACCTTAACTTTTCAAAGCTGAGTTACATCATGGGTGTCATTAGTGGCCGAGTAGGAATCGATTAACCCTCCTGGATCACCTTATTTCAATCTTCAAGTTGGTGTTTTACGAGGTATTTTTATTGCATTTTCATAACTGATTCCCATATTTCTCAGCTATGATATTTTTACTTCCATTACATCACACATACAATATGGAATATCCCTTATTTATATAACATAACCTCGATATAACATATCAAAACTGTGTCATTCCGGCGACTCTTCTGTGTAAAACGTCATAGTGTCCTTCCGTCACGATGGTAGTCTGTCCATGTTTATGATCTTTGACTTGTGATTTTGATATCTGCCTAAATACAAACACTCCTGAAAATCTTCTTACTTTTTAAAAAGGTGGTATGGAATTAACAATATTCGGGACCATTCACTGCCTTGTGAACATGGTGAATGAAAACAGGGACAGTCTAGTAATATAGATAGTCCTTGATGAAAATCAGCCTTTTTTAAAATCTACATGATCTCTGACAAGGTTCGTACGTCACAGATATGTAATTTACATTCTGTTTAGATAGATATGCAAAGTATAAATTATTATGAAAAATTGAAATACATAGAACGAGTTGAGTTTATTGCCAATATTGTCACTTTACCACCCTTATGTGCTTAAATCATGACACCATAAATCAACTAACTTCCTGTTTTAAAATAGTGATTCTATATTTTATCCCTTATCTTTCTTACCTTTTTCTACAATCAGTGATGTTAGGCTGGCGTGTCACATTTTCAAAAAGTTTCAAGTCGACTTTCAGAAAATTAATACTAGGTTGGTTTCATCCATAAATTTAAATTAAGATTACGAGTATTGATTTAACATGTAAGAAGTTTTATTAATAGTAAACTATTTATAGTATAGTGGGAGTTGTGTTAATGGTGGAAAGGACTATATATATATATTGACTTTTGATCCTTTTTTAAAACTTTTAAGTAGCATTTGTATTTTGTGTTTAATGTTTATTTCCCCCACAAACTAGTTTTAAGCAATACATTATAAGATATCTAATAAGCGTTGACCCCTCCCTCCCAAACCATAAAACGGTATGTAGTACGTACATTACTTGTTCATTATTTACTATAATATTTGGAAATTTCTTTTGGCTTTGTTCTATAAGACCCTTTTTGATTTTACAGCTCGCCATGGAACATTACCAGTCTTTGGTGTTCTATCATGTTAGTTCTCGACAAATTTACTAAAAAAAAAGCGCCCAAACATAGCTAGTCAGTATGATTTCCTTACATTTGATTACAAGAGATGTCTGGTATGCACCTTTTCTGCAAAATTTTTTTTTCTTCAAAAAGCAATCTAGAGGGCAATAATGGTCTTCGTCAACAAGTGTCTGATTTGTCAAGCACTAAATCGTCCCCATTTCATTCAAATTTTCCATAAATTAAACAAAAACTATCAAAGATCTGTCATCGTCACAAACTCTCTAAATAGTAAAAATAAAAACAAACATGAAGATGCGTCTTGAAACGACTAATGACGAAGTACACGACTATGGACAGGCACAGTAACATATATATTCTTAAAATAAATGATAAAAATGACATAATTACATGTACATGCAAGAAAAAGAAAATGTCAAATGGCATGTTCTGTACTTACAGGAAATGCAACAGCTATTAGGGACCGCAGTGAGATGTGAGCTTTTATCGCGTAACGAATGCTCACCGAGGTCCAAGAACAACTGTGAAAACGCTCTTCCGTTGTTTTGAGATTTAGTTCATGCAGAGATGTGTTACTTCATATCAATGAATGCCATGCACTGAGCCAACTATCCTTCATAGACTAAAGGACATGGTTGTAAGAAATTATAGGTCACCGCCTGACATGGTAAAATGTGAAACAATTCATACCAGAAAACAAACAGCCTAATTCATGATAAAACAATAAACGAAAAACAAATATGGCAAACAGCAACCAATCACAACTATTGAGTAACAGGCCCCTGACTTGGAACAGGTACGCAAAGAATTTTCAATGTCCGTTCTTTTCAATTTCAAAACCTTGTTTATATTTGCCAAATATCTTTATTTCATCAAACAATACAATGATTCTATCATTATTGACTTAATTTTGAGCGTTCCTGGTGAAGGTATAAAACAAAACTCTTCGGGTGCACCAAATTAATCAGGTGCACCAAATTAATCAAGTGTTATTTCATTTAATAGCACTGGGTTGAAACCGCGGGCGCATTACATTTGCGCGCATTTGGCCCGGGATCAACATTTTTAAGTTTGCGCACAGCTTTTGATTACATTTGCGCGCATTCATTTTACAGGTAAAACAAGTAAAATAAAGATAATTCATAATAAATATGATCATGAGAAATCCCGTAATAGCTTAAGACATTCATGTAACTTAATTGCGAATATTTCAGAGTAAATAAGATTCTGTTTCATAGCGATTTAACAAATACTTTAAGCAAGTTTGTAAAGTTGCGTCAAGACACACGCATCGAGTTTCGTTTGTCAGAAACAATTCAGGGGAAAATCATTTGTGTACGATGGATTTACTTTCCGTATCGACAGAACACTTTTAAAGTCGGGGATATTTAATGACGATGCACCGTAAATAATTGCAAAGGTATTTCACCAGATTCCCTATTTCCGCAAGGTCTTTGGGCATCAATCAGCAGAATCCAGGCGTACTTAAAACGGCCCGGAATCATTCCATGCTCACTCCAATGAGCAATTTTATTTAGCACATTCATGTTTTAAGTGCACGTTACGACATGTAAAATCGGTACTTTTAATCTTTAGATTTACCATGTTTTTACATTTTTATCTGTTTATATTTCCAGGATTAAGTGCTTGTGCACAAGAAAACGGACTTATCCTGCTCGTAAATAATAGTTTAATAAATAAATAAGTATAATTTAGCTGTATTTACCTGAGTTTACCTATAAAAGAATGCGCGCAAATGTAATCAAAAGCTGCGCACAAACGTAATGATTTTAGCACGCAAATGTAATGTACCGGAAACCGCTGCTGGTGGACTGTTAGGCCAGTGATATCATTCGCCCAGTAATCAGTGCTTCGCTACTGGCACGATTTATCACACATTTCTTAAATTAATAAATTTAGAAATCATTCAAAAACTAAGGTTCCAAACTTTAAGTTGGCTGTAGATTATTTTGGCTATTTCTTTATTTCCAATTGGTCTCATATAGCTCATCAGGTATATACAAATCATTGGCTTTCCATGTTTAAGTTGTGTGCGTTCTCGGTTAAGGTTAACCCAGAAAAGCTCTTTGAACGCACCTTATATTCAAAGAGTTATCTTTATTTCCAATAAGTTTGAGAAGATAGATTTTTTTTTGAGAAACTAGCTATTATTCATTTTGTGGTTCATGCAAGTACAGCTTCCAATAGTAAAAGCGCTTAAGATATGATGATGTGACTTCCAAATCACCAGGTTTGGGATAATTATTTCATCTCTGCATATCTTACTGATTCATATTGACCAAGAATGAACGTCTAGAGAGAGCAGAAATAAGTTTTTTTTTTCATGTGGCATTTTAACAGATTACCAGCCAATTGTTATGATTTTTTAAATGAGATACACTATCATTGGTACACATTCACTTTATTTCAGCTTGCTGAATTAATTTTGATGAATTTTCTTGCTTACTAATAAAATTACAATAACAAGATACATACACAGTCCGTAACAGGTCAAAATTTTCTTTCTATTACCCTTTTTTCAAGCAATTTCAAACACAATATTATTGAACAGATAATTCGATTAATTTTTCTCATGATATTACGCAACTGCTTTCTTCTGGTAATCCTTGAAGTTTTCGTTGCAACTGTCGACCTTCTGACTCTATTCGATGAAAGTCTCTAGACATTGTAGAGAAACTCCATTTTGGGTCTGAGGCAACATCATGATAAGGGTTAGCTGGATCCAGAACATACGGTGGCTTTCTGAAAAATGATTGTTTTTTATATATCATATAAATTAAAACAAAATGAAGTAAAATTATTTATAACTTTAATCATTTGGAAATTTAAAAAACATTAAATCAAATCCTTTATGGCAATTAGGCTTTTTTCTGTTAAACTGGTACTGTATTAATCTATATGGTACATTTTAGTGTGTGTTTGAGACTTTGTCTAGCTTACGAACGCCTAGAGATGTACTGTGAACATTTTTACTTGTGCAAAATTATTTTATGATTGGAAAGTACCTCATTTATTAAAGATACAAATAAAACAATCATCATCTGATACCAGCGCATGGTTACACTCTCTTCCTATAGTAACTGTGAAGGAGTCTTTATTTTTCATAGTTGATGGAAAGATATAAATCGAGCTCGATTTCATATGAGTCGAAAGAACATTTCAATTTATTATAGATTATTACAGTTTTATCTCACCGGAGGAGTGATTGGTTAAGTTAGTCTGCAATGCAGTTATTACGATCTGTATTAGAAACTGACCTTTCAACTTCGTATTTGATTTACATTCCCACTGTTTTGATTCGAGCGTCACTGACGAGGGTTATATAGACGAAACGCGCGTTTGGGGTACACATTTATAAGCTTGGTATCTATGATGAGTTTTTTTTCAGTGGTATTTCAGATCGCAGCGCATGATGATTAAACGCAATTACTTGTCAAGCTGCTTTATGTAGTAAGATGGAGTAAAATGATCGTTAAACGAAATTCGGACGTTGTCGAACGATGCAAGTAGGTCAACAACTTTAGTCATCATCTGCTTCATAGTAAAGTTATTTGATTTTCCATTTTCTCTCCAGACGTATATAACCATTAATTCAATACAGTATGAAGTAAAATCCACCTGAAACGATATATAAATCTCAGTTAAAAATAATGGTTATAAAACTTCCTTATTAACATTCTCTTTCTTTAAGTAGACTTTTAAACAATTTAAAAAAGGTCGTTAACTTTAGCATTCTTTGTGTGCCTGTCTCAAGCCAGGTGGTTGGCGTTAGTTGTTGCCTACCTTAAAAGTTTTTAGTTTATTGTTTTAGTATAAATAAGGCCATTCGTTTACTCTTTTGAATTGTTTCAAGTTTGAGCCTTCCCTTGTGGGCTTTTATAGCCTTTTAGACGATACGGGTTTAGCTCATTGTTGATGGCCATACGGTGACATGTAGTGGTTTGCATTAATATTCTTTGGTAAATAGTTATCTCATAATCATTTATACTACTGAAATTGAACAACATTACTGACTTAACCAATTTTTAACTTTACAGGCCTAGAGCAATCTGCTTAGAAAAGTTTTCAGCATATCAATTTGACCAAATTAGTCTCAATGATGGAAATTGAAGAGGAAAACATAAAACACGAGTAACATGTACATAAAGGTATTGGCATTGTATTCAATACGGTTTTCTAATCGAATATAATTATTCCTGAACAGGTATAACATCTTTAATAAATTTAGATCCTGCACAACACCACTATGCATCTTCTGAGACTACTTTTCAAGTTCTTTAATGCCTATATTTTAATGATGGAACAACATAAAATTAAAGATTTGTATTTTTCAATACTCAGTATATGTTATAATACAGAGAAAAGGTTGACCTGTTCAGTGTATTTCCAATATTTTAACAAACGAATCAAATCTTTGACTCTGGCCGGTACTGGTTTCACAAATTCCACTTGCAGTTTAGCTAACGATTTGGCATAGTATTTCCTTAGATGAGGTTTGCTTTCCATTGTAGAATATGTAGATCCGACACCACCAGCTAGTCCAAGCATCCCTAAATTACAAAAAAATAAAAAGAAAAGAAAAATAAATAAGAAATACATGAAAATAAAACTTACCGACCTGCGCATTGATTTTCAATCGTTGGCGAGTGTAGATACAAGTATCTCAACAAACAATCGGCATACCCATGCGAACCAACTGTGTTCCTCTTCTTGCCGACTTGTTCGTTTATTCATATGAGTTTGACTTCAAACAGGAGCTTCTTTCGAAGAATGAAAAGAAGCTAGCATTATCCTTTAACTTCTATTTTTGCTATATAGATGATGTCCTCTCACTAAATAATTCAAAATTTGGTGACTTTGTTGAATGCATCTATCCCATCGAACTTGAAATAAAGGATACAACAGACACAGTTAGACTGTCTCAAATCTTGACTTACATGATGATGATTTCAGCTTCCCGATTGTGAACTTTCCATTTCTATGTAGCAATATTCCAGCAGCGACTTCACATAGAATATATTAGTATATCTCCAAGTTGATACGATATTCCAGGGCTTGCTTTCTTATCACGGTTTCCTTCCTGGAGGGTTGATGCTCACAAGGAAGCTCTTAAACTAAGAGGTCCATGTAGTGAAGTTGAAATCATCCCTTCGAAAACTTTACGGACGCCATCACTAGTTGGTTGGCCATTATGGGATATGTTCCAATCGTCGTAACCACAATCCCATCTTCCTTTTCCCCGAGTGAGACCTACCGAATTAGACTTATAACCGGGTTTGTAATTATATGAACAACACGACGGGTGACACGTATGAAGCTGATCTGTTTACCCTTCCGGAGCACCTGAGATCAACCCCCGTATTTTGGTGGGGTTTGTATTGCTCGTTCTTTATTTTTCCTTGCTGTGTTTTGTATACTGTTGTTTGTCTTTTGGTCATTTTCTTTTGTGCCATGGCCTTGTCAGTTTATTTTCGAATTATGAGTTTGAATGTCCCTGTGGTATCTTTCGCCTTTCTTTTCTTAAAAATCAGACAAGAATTGTCCAAATGAGAGCGCTAACGATGCAATTTTTCAAATAATTAATGTATCTAAGGGGCATAACTCTTTAAAAAATAATTGATCGGCACTGATTTTCGAACTCGTTCAAAACATTGCTGATATAAACCTATGATATAAGTTTCATAAAAATCTGGCAAGAATTGTAAAGTGGAGAGCGCTAACAAGAACGGACAGACGACGTCTGGTATTTCTATGACCCCTGCAACGCGTTGCGCGGGGGACAATAATATCAGAGTTAGCTACTTAGTCTGTGTTTGTTTTTTTTCAGTTGAACGATACAGTATCTTTGACTCTCTAGTTTTGTCTTTCTGAGAGATCCATTTTTATAGAGAACGGATATTATATATTGATCCAATGGTGAACTTTTCTAATGTTGATTAAACAAACCAATTAATCGAAAATGATAACTGTTTATTCAGACAAACATACAAAAGACCGGTAGTCACATTATGTTGTAAAATGTTTTGATTTCCAATAAATTTTTAGTTGAAAAATGATCTTGGAGGTGCAATATGTCAAGTTGAAAGTGAGAAACGTCATCTTGGAAGTGAGAAATGTCAAACTTGAAGTGTGAAATGTCAATTTGAACCTAAAAGAAATGTCGTTGAAACTGAGAAATGTCAGTTTAGTGAGAAATGTAAAGACATACCTTGGAAATGTTAAGTTTGAGATGAGATATTTTAAGCTGGAACTGAGAAATCACAAGTTGAACGTCAGGAATGTCAAGTTGGAATTGAGAAATGTCAATTTGAAAATTTGAAATTTCACAAAAGAATGCCATTACCGGTTTTTCGTACAAACACGTAACTGTAAGCATCTACCCAAAGGCGACTTGCATAAACTTTATGAAAAGATGGCGATTCAAGTGCACTTTTAAGAAATTAAATTATTCCTATACCTTTTTATTCATATATTTATAATTCAATAATGAAAATATTTACATGTACTCCATACATCAACTATAGGCAGTAAATCCACATCAAACCATTCATCACCACAACGTAGGTTAAACTGTAGGGTGAATGGCGTCTGACCTTTCATTGATATTTTAATATTTTTAGTCTTTCCGACAGCTGATTTTAAATATTCTCGGAAGTTATTAAGAACCTCATCCATGTTTTCTGCCAAATGTTCCACATCCCTAATATTATTCAATACCACTAAAAGGTCTACATCTGAATGGTCACGTACAGCTGTTCCTTTACCTAAAGATCCACCCTGAAATCATTGTCACATGGTATGAAATACAGCTTTAATTATTTACATACAGTTAAACTATAAATTATCTACGAAAGTTTACTTAACAGTTCTTAACTCTTTAAAGCTCAATAAGGGAATACGAAAAAAGAGGCGAAAGGTACCAAAGGGATAATCAAACTCATAAATCGAAAACAAACGGACAATGACATGGCATGACGAAAAGAGAAACAACAGTACACAAAACACAACACAGAAAAATAAAGACTGAGCAACACGAATCATACCAAAAACCAAAACCGACACTGAAAAATGCTCTACACACCTGGCCAAAAGGGTCCCCCCTCCCACTTCCGTGATCTTTAAAATGATTTGATTTCCAAACCATTTTTCAAAAAAATGCTTAAGCGGGAAATGAAATGGTAAAGTTTTCAAAATCAGTATTTCTACCTTTTCTACAAGGGAAAGTTTCATTTTACATGCAGATAAGGAGACACTGGTGATCTCCAGTGACCAAATTAAAGCATAAAGTGAAAAATCTAAACATCCACATCAACTGATCATTTGTTTTGTCTGTATTACGTATAATTAAATTGATACCCTTCTATCATTGTATATTCATTATCTAGTAGGTTGATAAAACGGAAAGCTATCAATAAGAAAAGTCGCCAAGTAAAATTAAGATATAACCACAATATTCCTTATCAAGATTTTTTCGGTCTGTACTGTAGGGTCGATAGAGCTTGTAACTGAAAACAAAATCTGAAAACATTTGAGTGACACTAGTAGTTACCCTCTCCCCCGCTCAAAAAAAAAAACAAACTGAGATCTCCCATTACTCGTTGCGATATATATATATGGACTACCCTGAGAACTTTTCATATATATTTGAAGTAGAAGAATCATCAGGCATAACATAATGACTCCTTTTAGATGAACAAAGAAGTGTAAAAGTACTCATTTCGGTAATGCAAATCTTTACCGACCATTTGCTATCCAACTCCCGTACTAATAAAATGACCGACATTTGAGCAATTGCTGCTGCCTGCATTTATATTTTTTTGTATTCGCTAAACGACACTAATATAAAGAAATTTAAATACTTACTTTGATAACTTGATTGACTTTGTATTTGGGATTGCGATGTATTAATCGCACAACTGTGTCTATAACTTGGCTACAGTCACTTAAGAACTTTGTATCTGGCCGAACTTCTCGGTCTAAAAATTTCTCTAATGTCTCTCCAGGAAGCATGCCATTAAAAAATGTCATCGTATATACAGAAACCAATTATTCAAGATTAGTCTTATGTTTTCTGAAAATGTGAAAAGTAAAGAACAAAACCACGTCGAATAAACATTCTAATGTTTATGCAGTTTAGATAGAAGTCTATCTGTCAACATATTAAATCTATATTTATTTATTTAGATAGAAGTCTATCTGTCAACTTATTAAATCTATATTTATTTAGATGCACACTTATATCTCACAGACTTGGTGGCCTATCAACAGAACAAACTACACAATGACAGAAGGATGAATAAAAGAATTAACGAACAAAACTATTAGATATATAAGAATTTACAATCCTTCTACCTGCTTTCTCCATAAAATTGTACCCACTTCTAAACTGCATAAATATTCAAATTCAATAAAAATGTATGTCTTAAACCAAAGTTTGTTTGCATGTACTCATAGCTCAAAATGTATAATCATAAATGTCTTCAGCGGAATTGTATGCATACTTGCTTATAAACAATCTTTTAGTTTGAAATCAATTATCTTTTTCCGAATAATAAAAATACTTTTTCAGATAGTTTTCTCGGAGAAGTCTAATCGAAAGTTTTTATGTCAGAAAAACCTACTGTGGTTTCATTTATTTTGATAGGTAACAATTTTCATGGACTGAGGGAAAATTGCTTTTTCATGAATTAATATTAATACTAAATTAACATGCAAGCCTATAGGAATTGTTTTTTTGCTAAACTATTAAATACATGGTTCACATGTACCCATGGAATCCACGACAAGAAGTAAACCACGAATAAAAAGGAATCCACAGTAACTGACAGAATTACAGAAATATTGCTGTTTTATGTAACAATGCTCGGAGATGATCCCTTATTGCTACACGTCGATATTGACTTTTTTCAGTTCAACTGTAAAATTATGAGAAATGCTTACTTGGCAAAATTCCTAATATGAAAAATACTCCTCCCCAACCCCCTCCAAAAAATTAAATAAATCTTACCTTGTAATACTTTTTCCGTTACTCAGTGAAGTGTCTATAAGTCACGTGTACTCCGTCAAGTTCCAGAATCAATATTAAAACCCCACTACTAATTACCTTATTTCTTGTTATGTTTTGTGTTAGTCATGTTAGTCTCAGTGAACATCTATTTAGGATGCAGATACCAACAATGTCTGTGTTGGAAGATGGACTAGAATCTTTACAAAGTATTTGTTAAATGTCACGTGTTATATTGCAATAATGCATCACGGCCCATTTTAAATAATAACATGATTTTCAGAAAATCTAACTACAACCTACTGTATTTACACTGATTAACAGGAATGAAATCGTATTACTGATAATACAAAGACATTAACTTTAAGACAATGTTAAGTCAATTAGAAACAGATATTTAAACGAAATTAGGCTAATTGCAATCATATCTAAATATAACTCAATGTAAAAGTGTATGCTCTTTGTTATATGTTTTATAACTTTAGGCAATGTTCAGTAAGTCTCCATAAATTATCGACAGCGACAGGCAATAACAAGACCATCTTTAAATCATAGAACAAATTATTATGTCACCCCAAACGGAGACCCCAATCGGAGTTGGGGTGATATATTGTTATTGTACGATTCTTTTTTTCTTATTCTTATTCCACACTTTTTGTCCAGCTTAGTTCTCTAAACTGAATGAACCAATTTTGATGGAACTTTACCATAATGGTACCCACCATGTGTAGTTGTGCACCTGACTTTGGAATTTCCAAAATGGCTACCATTGCATGGAAAAAGCAAAATTGTGAAAAATCGAAAAGTGTTCCAAATTTAATGAAACTTTATGGAAATGTTACGCGTCATCAATAGATGTCCAATCCATATATGGAATTTCCAAAATGGCCGCCATTGCCATGGAAACTGGGGAAAAGTTTACAATTGAACCCTTTGAAACTTTAAAGTAGCATTTTCTTACTTAAAATGGTAGATCAAACCAAGTAAAACTTCATTGCTATGTGGCCCGTCATGTCAGATTGTGGTATCTGTCTTATGAATCCTTGAAATGGTTACTATTACCATGGAAACAGCAAAATTATGAAAAATTGAAAAAAAAATGCTCCCAACTCACTGAAAATTAACAGAAATATGTGTTGTCATGCATATATGAGCATTTAGTGTTTTAAAAATTCAAAATGGCTGCCGTTTAGTGGAATTGGGCGAACTGGGGTGACATCTGCTATTGCGTGCAATGGTAATTCTAGTTATATATTATTTTTGCTGTTACAGAAGTATACCTGAATTCATCTTTTTTTAAATCGTTGTTTAATTGTTCCTTTTAAAGAACGCTCGAATCCGTCTTTATTGCAAAAAAATAGATAATAATAATTGCACTGATATTTTAAAAGACGAATGATTAATTAATTCTGATTGAAAAGAGATGCATATTCCATATTGTATACCTAAATCTCAAGGCTATCACATATTTCACAAATTTCTAATATACACAAGGATGGTTTTATTTTATACTGGAGGATCCAGAGAATGTCTGTGTTGGAAGATGCTCTTGAATCTTTACAAAAATATACTAAGTTGACAGATAGCCTTATATCTAAACTTTGGATTTTGCATGTTAATTTAGTAATTCATGAAAATACAATTTCCCTCAATCCATGAAAATTGTATAGATATACTTTATACGGAAGACTAGGCGAAAAAAAAGAAACATTGTTGGTATTTCTTATCATTTTTTGTTGTCTCAAGTAATGTTTTAATCAATTTACAAGGGCATCTAGAGTAATTGGCTAACACTCTATTCTGATGACTGTCATACAAGCGAGAGGTTTAGCTAGCTATAAAACCAGGTTTATTTATCCACCATTTTCTACATAACGAAATGCCTGTACTAAGTCAGGAATATGACAGTTGTTCCCATTCGTTTTATGTGTTTGAGCTTTTGATTTTGACATTTGATAAGGGAATTTCCGTTTTGAATTTTCCTTGGAGTTCGGTATTTTTGATATTTTATTTGTTTCTTAGCCAGCGCTTTCAATTGTTTTTTGTATTAAACGTTTTCTCTACTGTAGCAAATTTCATTTGGTTTTCTCTTCAATTCATTTTACCAATTTCTCATTTCTTAATTCTGGTGTACCTCACTGATCCTTCCTCTTTATCAATTTGACTCAGTTCTTTTATTCTCTTAGTTGCCTTAGTTTTTATATATTTAGGAGTGAGGTGCTAATATCCTGTCATTGGGCGAAGAGTTTGTTTGTTTGCCTCAATAATAATCATGGGGCCTAGTTTTCCTTTGCAAAAATGTTTTTTTTTAAAGTCATGAAACTTCAAATTTAAAAAAAGAGTTGAACATGATTTATATACTTGAATGGCTAAGTTCACAACGATCAACAATCACTGAATGAAATATTATGTGTCGATTATACGTTATAGATTTGTAATAAATGTACAAAACGTGCATATAGGACTTAATATAGTATATATGCATGCATTGGATCAATAATTTCCTGAACATTAAAATGTTTTGAAACTCGTTTCATATGACTTTAAAGTGCTCCACATATATAATCTTTGGGGATTTGAAGTTCAACTGGTATGACTAAATTCACGAAAACACTTTTTGCCGTTTTTCATATGACCTTTTTGTACTACTTTTCTTTATGGTACCCATTCCACTACTATTATTTGATATATGTTTTTTTTAAATTCTAGGTGCGAGTCCCATGCTTTTCCCCTAAAATAAAAAAAAATGACAGAAAATCTACTTTTCGTCCATATCTTGTTTATTTGTTTTGTTTTGCACCAACGCCGTACTCTCGACATCTACAAAAGAATTCCACCAAACAAGTGTTAGAGACTTTCTACAGCCTCTAACGGGTAAGAGCGTTTACTACTGTCCTCGCTGTGGCTTATGAACGATTGACAGCAATAAATTCACTGTAACAGTTGTTTGACAATATAAAAATAAGGAGATGAGGTTTGATTGCCAATGAGACAACTATCCACCAAAGTTCAAATAAAGTGGATGTAAGCAATTATAGGCAACCGTACGGCCTTCAACAATGAGAAAACCCCATACCGTATAGTCGGCTATAAAAGGCCCCGACATGAAAACTATAAAACAATTCAATTGAGAAAACTTATTTATAACAATACAATTAACGAAAAACAAATATGACAGACATGAACCAACGACAAACACTTGAACTACAGGATCCTGACTTTCGACAGGCACATAAAAATATGTGGCAGGGTTAAACATGTTTGTGAGCGCTCAACCCCCCCCCCCCCCCCCCCCCCCGGCCCCTAACCTGAGACAGTGGTGTAACAGCACAACATCAGATCGATACAAAACATAAAAACTTCAAACATAAACACAGACCGGACGTGGCAGGGTATTTATCCATCCTTCATCCCTAACAACAAAAAGAAAACTAAGTACAGATCTGAGAATACTCACAGTTACTGACAGCTAGTCCAAAACCAATAACAACTAATAAAAAAAAATCCTGTAAAATAAAATATCAATCAGTACACATCCAAGATCCAATGGATTTAGTATAAAAACGTCATTAACAGTCAGAGAAAAACACGACCTTTTGCAATGCCAAAATAAACGTACATGTATCGACAAATTGTTGTACCGTAAAAAGGCATATGTGTATAACAAAGCTATTAGGGTGATTTTAATTTACTGATAACAAAATCAATATTTATACCAATAAAACAATATTTAAAGATCTACTTACAGTGTTGAATTAGTAACCTTTTAGAATAGGTTTATTTAAAGGATTGATGAGTTTATCTGCATCGTGTATAAATTTCCGGGCTTGGTTAACAACATCAACGTAAAATTTAGGATGTGCTATTACGTCTGAAATAAGTTTTTCACAGGTACAGCCAAACTTGCAAACCAAATCTTTGTATCTATGGAAGAATTTAGTAAAGGTTTTAGGTAATAATTTACCAGTAATACATAGGTTACGCTCATTGAAATCAAAAACGTCACTACAGACACTGACATAACGAGCGACTTGGGATATATAAAAATCATAAGTCTGTTCTATGTTCCTTTGGAATTTCAACCAAAGATGAATAAAATGATTTTTCTTCACTGTATTTGATACCTAAATTACGTAATTGCTCAACGAAACCCCTTTGTAACTTTTTTACATTAATTTATCAGCAAATAATTTTTTGCTTCGAAGTTATTGTGAAACTACCTGCTCAAGGGGTGGCGTGAATGTCGAAACTAAAAAAAAAATATATTTGTGAACATACAATGTAAGTCTTTTCCATCTTGCAATAGTAATACAACATTGGACTTGTCTACCCTTTACACATGTATTCCCCATTCCAAACCTAAAGACAAATTTACAGGATTGACCCTGCTCTGTTTAATAAAATATAATGGTCAAAGTAGATACCATCTTCGCTAGTCAAGGGTTACGATCCACTTCCCTCCTCTCACTCCTTGGCGGATTGAGATAGAATTTCGGAGACACAAGATAATGATTTTCATTGGTTGCAGTCAAAACTCGCTGCATCCAATCAAAAAGCGCTTATAACATGATCACGTGTAAATGTAGAAAGTGTATGTAAACAATTGCCACGTGCTTATTGTGCAACAAGTCTTTACATCCCTAAACATACGACTATATTTAGTGACAATTTGAATGTTTTAAATCAACTTATAGAAGTTCCTGTGTATGTTTCTTGCACAAATGCATGAATGTCAACGTATATTTTCGTTTCCTGCTTTACCAAGTGTGTAGAATCTAGACGCTACCGTGTTTTTACCTCCAAATTGAAGAGTTCAAGTGCTACCATTGGTCAAGAATAATGTATTCGGAATGGGCGTGACTTTAATCTACCGATAGATGGCGCAACATTGTTATCACAAATGTTGGATTAATCAGCCAAGGGTGGAGAGGAGGGAAGTGGATCGTAACCCTTGGCTAGCGAAGATGAGTAGATACATGTATCTAGTCTTAGAGAGGAATAAATCGAATTTTTTTAATAACAAAACTGATTTAATCATCAACTTTTCTGAAACGGACATTATCAAGATGATTGATTTCGTGATTGACAACCAGGGTTCACCACAGAATGAAAATCAAGAGTGGGGAAGAGATGTCAACAATTCTCAGAGGATGTGCCGCGTTCGTTCGCATCTCTTCTTGGGAATAAGGTTGTCATTAAAAAGAAAAAAATATACTTTAAATACATCTTAATTAAATTACTAAATATACAGATATCAAGATAATAACACGTAAGAGCAAATAACACAGTACGGACAATTGATATTTTGAAAATGTTGATCTGTGTTTTGAGATTTTACTAGGAGTAACATTTATGCGGTCCGACTTCTGCGTTGAAGTAACTGCGTCTTTTGCAGTGATCCCATCATATTATTGCACTGAAGAAAGTGTCTGGCATTTTGTGGGTTGGGCTAAATCGTCCCTTTAACCAAAAAAGACAAAAGAACTATTTAAATGTTTTTTTTTTAGGTCTGAGGTTTATCTCGTATTTTGTAGTTTGTATCACTAGGTCGTATTTCTCGCGCAGTTCTTGCAGGTTCTTTTTATGTCTTGCTTTGAAAATATATTACGCTTAGATGACGTGTTTTTCAACAAATAATCGAAACTCCGACGGGAACCAACTGTGTTCCTCTACTTTCCGATTTGTTCCTTTTTTCATATGAGGTACACTTCGTACAGGAACTTCTAAGGGAGAATGAAAAGAAGCTAGCATTATTCTTTAACTTCTGCTTTAAACTTTACGACAAACGAATTCATTCTCAATTGTGAACTTTCCATTTCTATGTGGCGAAATTCCAGCAGCGCCTGCAAATGTGGTATATATCTCCCAGTTGATACGATAATCCAGTGCTTGCCTTTCTTATCATGATTTCCGTGATAGAGGGTTGTTGCTTACAAGGAAGCTATTAAAACAATCTTAACCACAATTCCGTCCCCTTTTCCTCAAATTTGACTTACGCCAAACAAGTACAAAGTTGAAGAGCATTGAGGACCCAAAATTCCAAAAAGTTGTGCCACATACGGCTAAGGTAATCTATTCCTGGGATAAAAAAATCCTTAGTTTTTCGAAAAATTCAACGTTTTGTAACAGGAAATTTATAAAAATTACCATATAATTGATATTCATGTCAACACCGAAGTGCTGACTACTGGGCTGGTGATACCCAAATGAGACTTATCATCCATTTTGTACTTACATGGGCGACATGACGGGTGTCATATTGGGAGCATGAACTACTTTCCCTGCCTGAGCACATGAGATAAACCTCGGTTGACGTAGGGTTCGTGTTGCTAAGTCTTTAGTTTTCTATTGTGTTTTGCTTACTGTTGTTTATCTTTTGGTTGCTTTTTTGCATTGGGATTAGCAGTTCGTTTTCCGACTTGAGTTTGAATTTCCCTTTGGTAACTTCTTGACTTCTTTGTCCTTTACACTACTAGTATACCCTATTCTTAACTTAAAAACAAATTACAATAAACTTGATCTCCTTTTTTCCATAAAAGAGAAAACTGTTCAACGTAGATACAAATCTCTTGTTTTAAAAGGGATAAAACATTATTTGTTCAAAACCAATCTGATTCAAACTTAAAATTCTCTTAATTGCTTAATTATTCTATTGACAACATATTCGCTACTTTTAGAGGACATGTTTTTCAACGAACAAATGGCATTTCTATAGGAACACAATGTGTTCCTCTTATTGCCGACTTGTTCTTTTATTCTTTTGATACCTCATACAAGAGCTTCTCAAGGAGAATAAAAATAAGCTAGGGTTATCATATAAGTTAACATTCCGCCATATATTTGTTTTTTTCTCACTAAATTATTCAAAGGTAGTTTACTATGTTGAATGCAACTATCCCATCGAACTTGAAAAAAATGTTACACATATATGCTAAGTCTGGCTCATATCTTGACTTGCATTTGTAAAATGACAATGAGGTTAGGTTGCGAACAAAACTTTAAGACCGAAAGCATAATTTCAGCTTTTCTTTACCTTGATTGCGACATCTCCAAATAAAACTTATCACTGGATATGCACTTGCACTATCAACACGACCGATTCACATGGGTTCACTACCGTTTTTGTGTGGTTCGTGTTGCTCAGTGTTTTGTTTTCTGTGCAATTCTAATGGACGTGTTCGTCTGTTCGGTTTTTTGTTTTTATCAATGTCATTGTCGTTTTTTGCCTGAGGAGTTTTAAATGCCTCCAGGGGCGTAGCTACCAGGAGGCATGACAGCACGTGCATCCACATCGTTTTCACCATAAAAAAAATTAAAGAGAGGGAGAGAGAGAGGGACAAAGTTAACTTATAGGAATTAGTTTTTCTATCTATGCATTTTATAAACAACACAAAGAATAAGAGCAGGAGGAATACACATGCAGCAAAAATTTTAATCCTGTAAGACATGTATGTGTACGATAAATTCATACAACTGGTGTAAACATGGCGGAACTTTTTATATTACGGACAGCTACATAGTTGTCGGTACCACACCCATAACGTATACTCGCCTTGAGTGCAAAAAAACAACATAATCCCTTTAGGGTTAACAAAAAAACTTGAAAATTAGTATTTTCCGCTTCGCCCAAAAACACACTTCTTACTAGAACGAAGACTCTTCAACTCGTATCGATCCGGGAATAATGACTGTTACCTTGTGAACTAGTTCAAAATTGACCAAGTATGTAGGTCTTGACAACACGAATACTTCATTTTCACAACACGTTTACGTATTTCCGTCCTGGTGTGCATGTAATATTTGCTACTGGACATTAATAACCATTCGATCAATCAATAGTTTCTGTAAACTAATAAATGAGAAGTTGGAACTGCTGTTATTATAAAGCAAGTACACATTTTCCAGTACATGTATTACGTTTTTATTTATTTTCCAAAACACATCTTGTACATAGATTCGATAATTCGAAGTCGTTTCTATATAGGCCGGTTATACGAATAGTTGATTGTAAAAACATTTAAATAAATTGTTAATTTTAACTCGTTTTACTGGACTATTTGGTCAATCAATTTTATAATGAATTTTCTGTCCGAGTCGGACACTAAACTGCTGATTCTTGTTCGAAAGAAATATCAAACTTTTGATACACGTATCTTCACTGTTATCATCTAGATACCGCCATACAACTGGTCGAATGCACATGTATTTGTTAATCATGTAGCTGGATAATTAACAAACGCAGATCATGAAAAGATCGTGATCAAAGTACCATTCACTCTGAAAAAGTTCATTAATTTCAACTTCGAGAATTCCTAACTGCGTAAAATTAGAAATTCCTATCTATCTCTTGTAGAGTTTACCCACAGAATTTTTAAACATTTAAATCCATATGTTCAGCAAAATATTGGAGAATGTGTCCACCAAGTATTTGGTATCCAAAGATGTTTATTCTAACAGAAACTCCACATATAGTATTGTGTTTTGTTTATTGTTTTTTTTTTTTATACATTTACTTTGCTCAATACAAATACTAGCATATGGAACATATCTCCATGATTTTAAAAGCTCTCAAGGCGTACACAAAACGCAAACGACAATGCTTAGTCTTCATTCGACTCGAAGTTAAACAAATATAGTTGACCAAAAAACCACAACAAAAATGTACAAGATTTATTACGGTTGTGATTGTTTTGAAACGCTATAAATGCGGATCTTCCGGGGGTCCCTTAACCCCCTACCAGGGCTTTGTCCTGGACCTACTTGGGGCCTTAGGCGGCCCCCAGACCCCTTGCCCTTTAGTTTGTGATTCCACTTCATTAAGAAGGTAGCTACGCCCCTGGCCTCCTTGGGATCTTCGCCCTTTTTTTAAACATAAACTATGAAATCATTAGTGTATATAATTATGACGCCACGGAACGTAAACTATTTGATTTTTGTTTTGTTTTGTAGTACATAAACTTTAAAATGGACATACCACCAGCATATCTTAAATATAAAGTTCAAATTCTAATTCAAATAAACCAAATAAGGCCTTAATCATCTTTGGTCAAATGCTAATTGTGTATTGCTTTCAAAAGTTAACTATCTTTTTTTGTCAGAATAACGGAAAAAGAAGGATGTTGAAATATTGTTTGGTAACAAATCCAATCAGAAGAAGCTTTATATTTTTCCTGTCTGAAACACACGTTAAGAAATGCATAATACACAAGACAAAATCTTTTATACCCTTTTCTATTCTTTTCAACAATTGAGTAATAAGCTGGTCTTTTATCATGGCAATATGGGTTTCGTATCTTATTTTTAGCATATTTTTAAAACGATAGAAAACAGATGAAAGTCAAGCCTTATATAGTGAGTATTCCCGCTGTTTCAATTAGAGTACAGGTACAACTGATAATTAAAAAAATATACTCAAGTTAGTGTGCAGTATGTGAAAATAAATTGGAAAAATACGTTTAAAGTCTCATTTCTTTGGAAAGAACAACGCACATTTTATTTTCAAGATAAACAAATATGACTTGCAGTTTACTGTTTGTTATGTTCTAACGTTAGCCATACGTCCAGGTTGTTTGGTCGACAATACTTAAAATCTCAAACTTATTACCAGACTGTCTAAGAATGAAATTGGTCAATTTAGGTTTAAATTGAAATGATTGTTTCAAACGAGAAAAATTGTGAAAAAATTTTAAACGACGGTCGCCAGGAGATGAAAAATGCTAACAGTGGCACTATTGGAAATGTGAGATAAACGAATAAATAAATTAAAAACGTAAGAACAATCACCAACAAATGATCATACTCAACATAATCTGGTGAATTTATTTTAAATTTCTTATCTTTAATGTTACTTATATTTAATTAGCAATGTTTAGAAAGTTGACGTTTCAAAAGTTTTAATCTGAATCCGATTCATCCTTTTTTGTTGTAATTTTGTGAACAGCATACGCGGCTAATAGCCCTCCAGTAAGTGCAGCTCCAACACCTAGGGCAGTCCATAAACCCGATCTTTTTGGTGTTGTATCTGATGCAATAGAGATACTGACATCCTTATGATGCCTACTGCTCATAAATTCGTCTCTGTCGTGGAGTTTTAAATTTTGCCTTGATATCTGTGGTTCTTTCTTTATAACTGCTTTTACTAACTCTGTTGAGCCCGGTCTAAAATAAACAAATTTATAAATAAATACGTAATTTAATTGATGAACTTTATGTAGTTAATAAAAAATAAAGTTTGTAAACAAAAAAAGTGAGTAAATGACAAATTATTTTAAACACCAGATTAATTTTCCTTATCAAAACCTATCTAACCTAAATCTTTGAACCTTAATCGATCATCTCGTAGCTTAGCATAACTGTTCCTAAGACATCATAGTCTCTCTTTTTGACGGCCGATCATTCAAGAGTTTTACCAGCATTTAAGTAAAATCCACCCCAAAATAAAATTCCTTCTGTTGTGTCAGGATCACATTTCTATTCATATTAAAAGGTAAAAATCAGAATAAAATAACATTAATGACCATTGAGATAATTTTGTAGATACCGTATTGATGTTTAGCAGTTTTGCTGTAAACGAAAGGGCAACAACTTTAATACGATATTGTCAAGCGTAATAACTCGGCCATTCTTGCTACGCCTACAATAACCTCGTATGCATTAGGCTAATAAATCTCACTATTTATGTAATTTTACAATTCACGTAACAATACTTTTAATCAAATGACATGAAAGTAGTCAATCGACCACTATACCTGTGTTGTGGTTGAATTTAAAGTAAATATTATGGATTTTTCAGTAAAATTTGCGAACTATAAAATTTAAAACCCAGCAAACTATAATTAACTTTAAACTTATTTGAGAATCAAGTATATGTGACCATTGCTCAAATATAGTTAAAACTTTTCAAGTTAAAAAAATAGAAGAGCACACGTTTTAAGAAAATCCGCTAGTGAACTTGACATCAATGATAAATTTAAGAATACAACTCCAAATCAGAGCATCAAGAAGAAAGTGGCCTCGACACCTGCATTAGTACTGTGCTGTAAAATGACACAAAAAATACAGCCAGTAATTTCATTTCTGATGCGTTCCTTTTGAGAAAAAAAACCCGAAACATAAGTTTAACAAGAGGCTGTCAGATTGACAGCAACCCGGATTTTCCTGCATGAAATAATATCTGCAAATCTAAAACCCAAAACAGGACCAAGTAAAAAAAAATAAATGAAATTTTTAGGGTTCAGTAATGGAAAGGCCAAAATCGTGAAAATCGAACTTGACCTTCATTTAGTCACAAAACCAACATCTAAATTTGAAAAGATTTCGTCAAAGTGTTTTGAAGTTATTGCACGGTCACTTTTTGTCAGGCGCATGCCAGCCATAAAAACGCAGCCCGTCGTACATCACCAAAATAATGACCGTAGTTTATGTAGTTTTCTTTTGGAAATCTGGTTAAAATGTAAAAGAAAGATCGGGGTTTTCAGACGGCGTATTGATTTTGACAATGACAATTCTAACATAAAGGAATCATCAACATGTGAACTGATACAAATTAGAAAACAAGAGACCCATCTGATTGAGGCTATTCTGTGCCAAAATTAGACAGGTATAAATGCTTATGAATTAATTATTATTTTGTTATAAATACAAGATGAAATTACGCGAACAGAATTTATACAAATATCAACATTACAGTGGACCCAAATTTAAACAAAGGTTGAAAAATTACCATAAAATACAAATTAATGATGAAAATTATACGATATTGGCTAAACAAATGAGAATATTTTCATGAAAATTTGTATTACATTTATAAGATATATGGAAAATATTGACAAGGGATTGACTTTACACGAAGTACTGTATAATTAATACACCAGAATTAAGCTAGCCGGCCTTTGTGCAGCCACACAAAAAATCTTTTTTTTTGAGAACTGAACAATGCATATCTTATGACAATCCTACCAGTCTTTATCTTGTTTAGTTGTTTATGGAAGCAGAACATCGTCAATATATAATTTAAATACTATGGATTTTCTACCACAGGAATGGATAACCATAGCTTTATTTGGCAAAACCTTTCGGAATTTTGGGTCATCAATGAACTTCTACTTTTTACTTTATTTGGCCTTTTTAACTTTTTGGATTCGAGCGTCCACACGGATTCTTTTGTAGACGAGACGCGCGTCTGGCGTACACAATTTTAATTCATGAACCTAAGATGATTTTATTTTCAAGTCACTTGTGATAACGAAATCCCTCACTTAATTATTTACCAGTAATACATAGACTACGTTCATTGAAATCCAAAACGTCACTACAGACACAGGCATAGCGAACGAGTTGGGATATATAAACAGGGCAAGATGGGTAAAAAAAAGGAAAATCAAAAACATGGAACGAAAAATCTTCCCCTTTGTCGTAATGTATTGTGTAAAACTGAAATCTAGGAAATTACACTTATTGCTGTTTATATTTGACTTATATAAAGGCAGTTCCTTTGGGTAATTTTTGGTAGTATATTTAGAGTATTCTTGATTATTCAAGGAAAATTATAATCAAGATCACGGTATTTTGTAAGTGGACGGGTCTTTTCTAAGTTTAATCAGTCCACATGTAGATATTCCGATCCAGCGCTACTAAAATTCAGATAATAAGATTTCTGTCCTCGAAATAAAAGTTCGTGATGTACTCGTTGTTATGTTATAAAGGGTGGCAATTGATGGTTTTAGTCTTTTTGCAATTATGGTGTCTTGTATTATTGATCATATTTACTGTTCACAGCTTCTGTTTGTTTATTTTACTTTCAAAATAACAAAATGGCAGAAAAAAAGTCTTTCAAATGATATTACTTCTATGTGGAAATAGAGAGTAGTAAGATCTTTACATTTTGTTGGTTAACGGAGCGAAATAAAATTCAAACGTATTGTATGGACAGCATATTTGAGACGATATATCAAGTCTGATTTAAAGTGGTTCTGTCGATTAAGTATCCGACGAACAAGGACGTTTTGTGATAGAAAAAACTCAATTGGCTCTTAAATGACAAGTTGTGCTAAAAACGAAACCTTAATCTCAGATTCGAAGAATGCAATGTGAACAACAGGGAAAATCACAATACTCTACTCTTGACTTTCCATCAATACAAATTCATGGAACAAACTAGATTTTAATAATTTATTAAAACAGAATGTAGATGAGAAATTATCATAATATTTGTCTGAGACATTTTGATCGGACAGAGAGACAACGGTCATATGTGATAAGATAACGGTGACCCCTCACACATCTTACAATGTTTTGCCTTGGTATGTATATAAACTTTTTAATAATGACTAAATGAAAACTCATTAAACATATTCATGCTTGTATATATCACACAGTGAAAGCAAATCTTATAATTTATATTTGAGTAATTATTTGAAGGAATATTAATCTATTCATTTTTCTTTTTTTTTTAAAAAAGTGAATATGGTAAATATTGCTAGCCAAAAATCCGTTTGAATTATAAATAAAGTGCTCCGCAGCGCACAGCTTGATACGACCGAAGAAGTCGAACACTGAACAGTTGGGGCAAGTATAGACACAACATTAAAGCTTGATATAGATCTGAATTTGGATTGTGATTAAATATTTGACACATCATAGGTTTCTGACACAGAATGTTGTCTTAGAACTTCAAAATTTGAAATTGGCCATTTACCTATTTTGGTCCAAAATCCAAAATCTAAATACAATCTGGTTAGATTCAGCATATAAAAAAACCAAAGAATTCATTTTTTTTTTGAAATTTTGGAGTCTTTAGACCTCAATGTGGACCAATTTGATGTGGGCCCAAAATCCAAAACCTAAATACACGGTTAGATTCAGTATATCAAATTACCTAATATATTCATTTTTTGTTGAAATTAAACAAAGTTTAAAATTTGGATCCCAATTTTGACCAACGTGAAAACTGGTTCCACAATCAAAAATCAAAATACAGGTTTATATTCAGCATATCAAAGAACCAAAAGAATTAAATTTTTGTTACAATCACACTAATATTAATTTTGGACCCTTTGAACCTTAGCATTGACCAATATGAGAACAGGGCCCAAAATAAAAAATGTCAATACACGATTAGATTCAGCATATCAAAGAAACAAAAGAAATCAATTTTTGCTGAAATTTTAAAACGTTTCGTTTTGAACCCTTTGGACCGTAATGTGGACCAATTTAAAAACGGGACCAAAAATTAAATATCTATCCACACGGCTCCAAGATTCGGCATATCGAAGAACACCAGTAAAATCAATTTTTGATAAAATCAAGCAAAGTTTAATTTTTACCCCTACATGCTCATAATGAATCAATTTAAAAACGGGACCGAAAATCAAAAATCATGAATAACACGGTTATATTCAGCATAAAGAAACCCAAGAATTCAAGACTTTGAGTTAAACCCCAATGAAAATGTTCCTTTGCATGAGTGATTGAAAATTATATTTGGTCTTGCGTATAACACAAGGAAATAAGAGATAAAGAAAATATTATTTTTGTGTTAGGAGTTAGGAGCCCGTAGTTCAGTGGTTTCGTTTGTTTATGGCAGTCATATTTGTTTTGCGCAAAATGTTTTGTCAATAAACTAAAAAACCTTTCAGATGCACACGAACTTCCAATGGTGAATTGATATAGTAAACGTTGTTGAACTATATAAAAAAAAGAAGATGTGGTATGATTTCCAATGAGACAACTCTCCACAAGAGACCAAATGACACAGAAATTAACAACTTTATGTCGCTGTACGCCCTTAACAATGAGTAAAGCCCATATAATATCTGAGATGCAACCCTATCCTAATAGACCATGATTAACCATCGGAAAATTGGCATTCACTTTTTTTATTCGAGCGTCACCGATGAGTCTTTTTTAGTCTGACGTACAAAATTATAAGTCTGGTTTCTTTAATGAGTTTTTATGGACATACCCTAGTTACAACAAAACACATAGCAAATATTATGAACTACATTGTATTGTTACTGTAGAATATTGAGACATTTACCTGACATTTGCAGTATTAAAACGAACTCAAAAGTAAAACGTTGTATTTTCGATGGACGTATAATAATAACAACCAATCTGCAATTTCAATGTTGTGATGTTGATTTTTAATTTGTTATAACTACGCCGTAATAAGTATTTGTACTTAATACATTGTAGAATGTTTATGCAATGCTACCGGAGGAACAGACATAAAACTTAACTTGACCTTAATATTTAGGCATGCATGAATCAAGATCTTTTGCAGTAAAAAGCTTACATGTTATCGCAATAAATAATCTGTATATTAATTGGGGTACCTGAGAGAAACCTCTAACCTTCGGCGACATTTGTTACAGGAAACAAAATGAAATAAAAACGTACATGGAACTTTTAATTTGACGTAAATTACCCTTCCATGTGACATAAATTATTCAGTGTTGATGGGGCTCCTTACCTCAAATTATCCAATAACTTATGTCCTCTGTGTTGAATTCGACTATAGTCGTAATTGACTCTCTTGTGAGGTGCTGCGTCATTGAATGGATTCGCTGGATCCAAAATATAAGGAGGTGTCCTAAAATTGAAATGTTAACGGAGCAACTATTTTTATTTTCATACGAAAGAAGAAATTTTTCATTAGAGCAGATTTAACGAAAAAAAAAAACAATTCTAGATGAGCAATTGGTCTCAAAGATGGGTAGGAAGTAATTGTTCGCGTAATATTCAAAGTGTATTAAAACGAAACACAATTTTGTTTTTGGCTAGGGTATAAGAAACACCTATTCGTCTTTATTCTTCTTGCATGAAACACAACTCATCCTTCATATCCTTAACTGTATTGAATTTCTATAAATGAATACCATATTCCGTTAAAATTTGACAAATATGAATTTTTATCCATTTTGGAAGTCATTTTAAATATAGCGACCGAAAGATATATTTCGACACCGGTAGCGATTTGAAATGATCGATTTATTTTTGCTTGAACAAATTTAATTGACATTAAGTTATCATAGGATTATTTAAATTGTTTTAATGTACCAAATTTCTATTTATTATGACTGATGTAAACATGTCAGAAGCATACGTTTTCTGGCTTAACAACGTTGATATTCATTTTCAACTTTTTTCGGTTTTGTTATATTCGAAACACCACTTGAAATGATAAATACACAGGAAGAAAATTGGTGACCTTACAGTTAGGTTACTTAATAATTACTGAAAATTATCTTGCAACAACAAACCATTTTTTGTTGTTGTTAAAGTCATTTGACAGTTGTGTCCTGGAAAGGATATACTTGTAAACAAGTTGACAACAAGTCTTCTGAATGTTTGACATTAACAATTGTCCATACTGGCTAAAATGTTACATTGCTTGAGGTTCCACTTATATGAGACAAGCATAAAAGTTTTACTGCTGTAGATTGACATTTTCATCTGGCCATTAAGTGGGTCAGACTATTTATTTGCAGATACCTTAAATAACAGCAGACCGAAACCTAGCCCTGAAACATGAGGGCTTTTTTTTGTGTGCAAGCTAATATACTAAATCAATTTAATATTGCATCGGACCAAAACTCCTGAAAAATCGTTTAAAAATCGATCTTCAATCTTTTTGATTGGATCATGTACCATATATCTAATCAATCAATTCAGGCATCACAGAAATAAGTGTGGGAAACTCTGATATTTTCTGGTAATTGTTATGTTCAAGGACCACAACTCTTTAAAAATAGCCCAAACTCGATCTCAAGCTTCTCATGATATCACCCTCAATCAAATAAATTAACAATGAATTTAACCAATAAAAGTGGGGAAATTGATTTGTTAAGGTAGTTCTACGTGTTCTATGTCCACAGTGCCAACTTCTGGGAACATAACTGTAGGTCAACTAGAACAAAAATCGAACTCAATCCGTAAAAGAGAGGCAACAGATATCAAAGGGACATTCAAACTCAAGTCGAAAATAAACTGACAACGCCATTCCGAAAAAAGAAAAGGACCAACAGACAAACAAAAGTACACAAAGCACAACATAGAAAACTAAAGGCTGAGCAACACGAACCCCACCACGAAATTGGGGGTGATCTCAGGTGATCCGGAAGGGTAAGCAGATTTTGCTCCACGTGTGGCACCAGTCGTGTTGCTAACGTTAGTATAAATCCGGTAATAAGTTTGAATCGGTCACATTCGGAGAAAAGAAATACAAGCCCTGAAATATCGTATCAACTGGGATATTTATACTCCGTATGCAGGCGCTTCTGGAATGTTGCTACGTAGAAACGGAAAGTTCACAATTGTGAAATCATCTCTTTTGTGGTAAAGTTTTGTTTTCAACAGACCCTCATTGTCAATTTCTAGATGAAAGTCAAGATATGAGGCCTACTAAACTGTTAGTATCTGTTGTATTCTTTATCTCAAGTTCGATGGGATAGATGCGTTCAACATAGTCACCAAATTTTGAATTATTTAGTTAGAGAACATCATCTATATAGCGAAAAGTAAAGTTAAAGGATACTGCTAACTTCTTTTCTTTCTTCCTAAGAAGTTCTTGTATGAAGTCAGCCTCATATGAATAAAGAAAAAGTCGGCAAGATGAGGAGCGAATTTGGTTCCCATGGGAATGCCGATTGTTTGTTGAAAAACACGTCCTCCAAACATAACAATTATGTTGCCAATCAAGAAATCATGCATCTTGATCATGTCAGTTTCCGAGAATTTTTTGTTCGAATCAGAGTTATTTTATTTACAAAGATACTTGTATCTACGTTGGCCGTTCTTTTTTATGAAACAAAGCAGGACCAACTCTTTCAATTTGTCTTTTAGTTTGGAATGAGGAATACTTGTGTAAAGTGTAGAAAAGACAAATGTTTTAATACTATTGTAAGAAGAAAGAGTCTTAGATTGTATGTACTCTAAAAGATCTTTTGATTTTTCAGTATCCACATCTGATTCACGCTACCTCTAGAATAGTTAGTTTCACAATAACTTTGAATCCCGGCTTTGATTGCTGACAAAGTTGATGTTAATAATTTAGAAAGAGGTTTCGTGGAGCACTTGGAAGACCCAGCATAATACCGGTGTTTGTAGTTAAGGTATCCAATAAAATCCAAATCTTCATCTTTTGTTGAAATTCCGATGGAACATAGAACAGACCTATGATTTTCAGGAATTATCTCTTTGATAAGTGTCGTGGGGGTATATGTTGAGTTTCCAAGTGAATTGACAATACATAATTCATTTATCAAGTAGTTTATGTATGTAATTTACACACTAAAACGATGTTGTTTTGGGCTTTATCTGTGGGGACATCAACATATTTATCATGGAGGTAGGACAATTGTTTTGCAACATTTGGGTCTTTAAAGATTGACGTAGCAAGGGTATTCATAGACCCATTTAATTTTTTAAATCTGATTTATATCAACGAACTCACAGCCTTTATCAATTCGGAAAGAGTATCTACGTCTTCTTTCTCGCGTTTAACCCATTGTCTGACATAATCCTCGACTGAATCCATCAGTATTTAGATGCATAAATACTTATTTCTGATCAATTGATTCAGAAAAAGACGAGAAACTCATACTGTCTATGTCAAAGGATCATATCTTCTGTAAAAGTTGCTAAACTAGAACGAGTATCTCACTCAATATGAAACTTCTTATGACATGGCAACATTCAGAAATAGCTCGGAAAACCAATATGTCGAGCAATATTCTATGTCCAAGTATCACAACTCCTTCACAAATTCTACATCTAAATTAGTTCTTAAACCATATCTTGGAACTTCCTATATGATGAATATAATACAAATATCTATCAATTTCATAGAAATATTACAGGATAAAGTGCAGAAAACTTACCACACGGATATACTGAAGGACGGAGTGCAAATTAATAGTCCATGTAGGTGACTAATACGCATTAAACAGGAAAATCAAAGCTGGTACCGACTAGAAAAAGTCTCATAATTAGTATCGTTGAAGTTATGTAAATTTGAAATTTGTTTTTATGAGTCTAACACAACTATGAATGTTACATAAGTGAAACGTGTCTTTCATTTTATTTAAATATGATAGAAACTAAGATACACTTACAACTTTGCAACATATTGAGCAGGCCTGTAGTAATCATTAAATGTGATTTTTGTTTCCTTGAAAAAAGAAATCAAATAGGTGACGTCATAAATCATAGGTTGCATCTCAAATCTGTTCGGACTGTCTTTCTTTTGCCAAATGTGAATTACCATTAATTCAATACAAAACGACGAAATACCAACCTAAAAATATATTGGAAAATTCAAGAAAATAAGCAAACCAGTATATAAGCTTGTTGAATTAAAATCAATAAGTGCAGTCGTCTGTATTTTAAACTTCTGAATTTATTTTGTGTATTAAAGTAGATAAATTAAGTAAGTTTTACAAAGCCGTATGTGTGCATTAGTCTGCATTACTGAATTGTACTGTTCGTCATTTGACTTTTCATTGACCAGTATGTAAATAAAAAATGTATTAACAAAAATACCGAACTCCAAGTCTAATTTAAAAAGGGGGAAGTCCATAAAACCTGACAAAATTAAACGTTATACTATATCAACTAACGGAACGAATGGAAAATTATAATGTTCTGACTTTCCATTAATTTGACATAGTGATTGAAAGTCCTTCTGGTGTAAGTTCTGTAACTCTGAGTCACTTAATTAAAGTCTTTTCTAAAATATTTTTAAAATTGACAATTTTGTAGCTTTCAATTGCAAACTTTAAGCACGAAAACAAAGCATGAAATAACTGAAATACCCCTTAAAAATGAGGTCTTAGATGGTACAATATATGACATGAACTACCAACATTTTCCTTACAATTCAAGTACTTTAACACGTCGCAACATTTCTATTTTCATAATTAAATAGCCTTTTAATTTCAAAGCATAAAATAAATAACTGTACAAATGAGGTTCAAATGATTCAATGTGCAAAATAGACTACCAACATTTTCGTTGTAATTCCAGTACTTTAACAGGCGAATTAGATCTTTCGCTCTAGATGGAACACGTTTCACAAAGTCAACTTGTTGCTTCGCCAAACATTTAGCATAATAATCTTTGTTATGATTCTCTTCATCCATCCTATCGTATACCATCTGTAAACTTCTACGTACATTTGATGGATCTAGAAATAAATTCAAATTGCATAGCGACTTTAATAATTTGAGAATATCCTGCATCATTTACCAAAAAATATATTACGAATTCAACAGTTCTTTCATTAGATATTACTGTAATATACTTGTGATTTAGCATTACGAGAGGTGTAGTTTGGACTTAAACATACACAACGGCTTTACTCTTACCTGTTAAGTTTAATCAAATAAAGGACCAAAATCGGAAGATAAATTCCCTGTGACTTTTGTATACATATACCTGTAACTCTTTACTTATCTATAGGATTGTTATCCATACACCCGAATCCAACTTATTCATAGATATGTGACTATAACTAGTTAGTAGGAAATGCACCAAATCGACACCATAGCAGCATAAACAATGAAATATCTGAACATGAAATAATCTACATTTTTACTCAAGAAGTCATGGACAACAGCTAACCCCTTTTCATAGCTCCTTTACGTTTTCATGGTTTTAATATCAAACTTACCTATGACGTCAATGACCGGAAGTAAGTCTACATCAAACCAATCCCTGTCTACAGCACAACATACTTTAAATTGAAGTGTAAATGGAGTCTGTCCTATGATCACTATTTCAATGGCTTCTTTTTTAACTGCGGCAAGCAAGTAACGATTGAAACTGGAGACTATTCCTTGCATATTTTCACGTAAATCATTGACATTTTGATAATTATTGACCACTACAAGTAGATCTACATCTGAATGACCCCTTACTGCCGTGCCTTTTCCAAGAGATCCTCCCTATAGCCAATAAAAAAATTTCTAATGTAACATGGAAATTCAGGTCATAGACAATATGATAAAAGGATTAAAACGTAACTAAAATCATTTATCAGCTTTGACATATACCCTGAGATTTGACATTGATCTGGGTTCATGAATGGACTCGATCCAAATATGGATTAAAAACAAAGAAACGCTGATGCATCGCCCGTTAGCAATAATTGATGGTCGTTGAATGCTTTGTATATTTAAAATACCGTATCATCCGAGGTTATTACCATTACACTGTCGATGCACACGGTCCCGCTCCTTTATGAGTTTATATGATTCCTTCAGTTCTAGTTTCGTTATCTTGATGTGTCTTCTTAACTAAATTGAACATCGGTAAACAACTGTTGCCTGTACTTATACTCTCAAAAATGAGACTCGATAAACATTTTCAAATTGTCATTATTATAATTAAATTGCACATTTTATAAATTCAGCAATCGATATTTCCCACAATATTATGTTGTTTAACGGTCACAACGAACAACATAACTGTTATATTTTTAACCTTACGTTACGGTCACACACCCCTGTATATTTGAAGACTAGTCAGTAGTATGCTTCATTTCATTTTTTTTTAATTGACATTGCATTTTTTTTTCAATTGACAATTTATAAACATTATTTTACACTTTAGTGTAAATGAATAGATGTGGCAATTCAATGCAACAAGTTCTTGATTTTAATCTTAAACAGGACATGATCCTTTGTTTTTTTGTTATTTTGTTAAATAAATATAAGCATCGATCCTTTTATGAGCATTGCAATTCCATGTCTGTTACCTATTTATTTAAAATTACAATACAGCTTGTATCGTTATATTGACGGACGATCCATGATGTTTCATTGTCAATGTGCTTTTCGTAAAAATTTCCCAAAACATAATTACATTAACGGCGCCAATTTGACTACACTAGATACGCAGATAATTGATTCAGTATATTTAACTTTAGTGTACCAAAAGGAATCATATGAAAATTTCAAAGCTGTGGAATACAGATAGGCAGATCTTTATTTTGATACCTTAATAACTTCTTTGATGCTAAAATCTGGGTGTTGATGTATGAGACGAACAACTGTATTAATAACCTCTTTGCAACTGTTTAAAAAGCTGGTATCAGGTCGAACTTTCCGATCTAAGAACTTCTCTAATGTTTCTCCAATACACATTCCAGGAAAATACTCTGCCATTACTTGCCTTCAAATCAATAATATTAAAGCAATTTCAAGGCAATTTCAAGGTATCATGAAGCCACTTTAATCACTTTTTATTTGGGGATGATAAAAGCATTGTACATTTTTCATAAAATATGCTTCTTATTTTAGTAGCATTTCAGATGAAATGGCAATGAATTTTGGTATTCAATCATGTGTCTGCTTTAAAGGGGCATTAACTACTAGATATAAACAAACATAAAATATGATGGTTTTTGTTTAATCATTAATGAAAGTGAAATAGTGAAATAATAATTCGCTTAATTCGGCCAATTTGGTTCTAATTTGTCAAAAGTAAAATCACAAAAATACTGAACTCCGAGAAAAATTCAAAACGGAAAGTCCCTAATCAAATAGAAAAATCAAATGATAAAAGGAATCAAACGAATGGACAACAACTGTCATATTCCTGACTTGGTACAGGCATTTTCAAATGTAGAAAATGGTGGATTGAACCTGGTTTTATAGCGCTAAACCTCTCACTTGTATGACAGTCGCATCAAATTCCATTATATTTACAACGATGGGTGAACAAAACAGACATAATAGGTAACATTGTCAAAATATGGGTACAGCAGTCAGCACTGTGTCACAATATGTAAACGTCACACAGAAAGAAATATAAAATAATTTTGTCGTTCAAAGTATTTTCAAAATTATAATTTCACATGGGGAATGGTGGTATACAGGGTTGAAAATCAAAAGTTTTTGTAAGAACTAATTTCAGAAAAAGACCGAGATTTAAAATTATCCATAAGTTCTTTAGAAATGAGCTAAGAACCTCGCTAATGAATTATTCACTTGGAAGTGAATAATTCGACCTCATTGAATCCGTATTCATGTGACCTTCGAGTTAACCCCTTAGCTTGGCATGGGTTACGCATGTATTCAGCTATTAAAGGAAAAGAATGTCAACAATGGAAGTGAAACAAGGCTGAACCATTTGGTAGACTGATTCGATCAACAAAAAAATAAAATTTTATGCAGGTAAAAACGATGATAAACATATTTTTAACCTACAATATGAAATCAAACAGACCTAGAAAAATCCAATTGCACGTGATATTCTGAATGGTTAATAAGATGGCGTCTAGACAAAGATACACACGAAATGCTGATACATATAATCGAGTTCATGCATTGTTAATTGTTTATTTTTGACCTTTTTTTTAAATTTTGATATACGTTTTAGTATGTTATAGATAAAATATGAGAATTTGAATTAAATCGGTGAACATGAGTTTGACAGCCTATGTCCCTTTTACAAAACGAAAGAAGTAAGATGATAAGAGAAAAGCCAAGAACGTGGACCAATTTCCCAAAGTCGTAATAGCAAGTGGTGTTTCAATAAAAATGCAAAGCTTATCCGATATCTATAATGAGCATCTTTGGTTTTTAAAAACATGAGTAAAGACTCCTATTCATTCGATCCAGACTAGATTTGGAAACTTCAGTAGCAAAAGTATACCATATATTTTTAATCTAATATTAGATGTTCCCGGGCCAACAAAAAATAACAGCGATTCCATAAATACTGCAACTAATATAAATTTCGTGGAATAATAGTATTTTCAGTGATGCCCGAAGCCAGAATATTAGGAAACAAACATTACAGTACTGATGAAAGACAAAGAACCTGAAGTATAGAAAATTTGGTACTGGAATCAGTCACAGGGAAGGCAGGTAAATTCCTTAGTTTTAAATATTTTCAAAACTTATATCAATGCAGATTTGAGAAGAGCAATATCCATATTCCAATGATTGTACACAAAAGTTCTATCAACTGGGCCCGCAATATCTTATCGCCTCGGTGGTATCATGGTAGCGTGCCCATTTATGTGCGGTAGGTCATGGTTATATTCCCCAAGACTCAAAAGCTGGTATTTGTTGCGTCTCTGTTAAGCACTCGACAAAAATGAGTAAGGACAGAGAATATTGAACCCGGAGTGAGAATAATGTGTTCGAGTCGATTGTTTAATTCGCGTTATTTGCATAAAACATTAACCTGTCGTTATTGTCCTGAATTATGCATTCTCATCATGATCATTAGATTATATTAATCGATGTCTAACAGCTGATACAGTGCTTATAATTACACTAACCAGTTCCGATGTGTCCGCACCAAATGCACATTTTGACAAATATTTTTTTTAAAGCATGCTCCTGGCCAATGTTTAACTTGACTATTGTTCTCAGGTTATGTCGTTAATTGAATTAGAATGTGTCTTTAATTATTTGGTAGGGATGAAGATTCTTACCCCAAATTATCCAATAGCATACGGCCTCTCTCTTGAATTCGACTATAGTCTCCATTGACACTCATGTGAGGTGCAGCGTTATGAAATGGATTTGCTGGATCCAAAACGTAAGGAGGTGACCTGAAATCAAAATGTGAACGGAACAACCATTTGATTGTTATGGAAGAGAATAAATTTCAAACAATAGGGTTTATCCCGCCCAACCCCGTCACCAAAACAAACCCAAATAAAATGACAAGATAATTATGTCAAAGCGCACTTCAGAATATACATGTTCTTTAGTTGAACTGATTTTTATGGTGTATAAATAAACTACAAAAAGATACGCATTAAGAAAAAATCTTCCAAAGTTAGCTAAATATTTTGGATCTATTAGTTAAGATATACTTATTCAGTATGTAGTTGTCACTTTCATTTTTTACCAAATGAAAAAAAAAAGCTGGCTAAAAGAAAAATTGCTTCATAACAAAACTTCACCAGCAATGATCAATATAGTCAGCTTAAGTGCATTATTTAATAATGATAATCTGAAATAACAAATAAAAAATAAACCATAAAATCATGAATAATAATTAAAAGACAAAATGAAATGATATTTAAATTAAACAAGTTTTCAGAATTTCATCCCAATTCTAGAGATAATGAAAGAAAATTGTATGCAATAATAATAATTTATTTGATTATAGTGTTACATTTTGTCTACAAAGTAATATACAAATAATATTGTATATACATCGTACATAAAATCCAAACAAAGTTGACTTATGCGACACAATATATACATTTTCTAAACTATTTAAAAAAAAAGCCAACTGAAATACAAGTTGTGGAACATAGTTAAAAGGGGCTAAATATACCAAAGGGATATTCAAACTCATAAGTCGAAAACAAACTGACAATACCATAGAAAAAACGAAAAAATACGAAAAGACAAACAACGGTACACAAAACACAACGTAAAAAACAAAAGACTGAGCAACACGAACCCCAACATAAACCGGGGATGCTCTCAAGTGCTCTGGAAATGCGGCACCCTTCGTATTGCTCGAGTAAGAACAATCCCGGTGATAAGTCTAATTAGGTAGGTAATATTCAAGAAGAGATTAAATGTAAAATGTCAATAATGTTAATTAAGAGAATTTTGTCATATTAAAAAAGTAAAAATAAAAGCACTCAATTCAGTATGGTGTAAAAAATATAGGAATAAAATGAATAACCAATTGGTGAAGATTAAAATGTAATAATCTGGTTTATAAAAAATAGTCTCACGGTAAAAAAAAAAGAATATAAAAAATCAGATTAAGGGAAAAAAAAACATATCCATGTATGTATTCTTGTCCTTTATTTGTGCTTTGTCTATAGAGTGTCTATATGTCATTCTGTTTTCTTTGTTGACATCATCGTTGTTTATTTTTGTGGTGTTTAAGATTATAACACATTGTTGACTGCTTACTCCAATTTTTGACATTTTTACCTATTATGTCTGTTTGTTTTGCCCACACATTGTTGTCATTATAATGGAATTGTATGCGACTGTCATACAAGTGAGAGATTTAGCTAGCTATAAAACTAGGTTTAATCAACCATTTTCTACACAAAGAAATGCCTGTATTAAATCAGGAAATTGACAGTTATTTACTATTCGTGTGATGTGCTTGGGCTTTTGATTTTGCAATTGATAAGGGACATTTTTGAATTTTCATTGGAGTTCGGTTTTTCTTGTTATTTTACTTTTTAGCAGTTTACCTAGCTACATTACCACTATCAACTTATTTCAAACCCTATACCAGGGTTAATTTTACCCATTGCAGAACACTTCCTATCGATGCAACTTTCTTTTTACTTCGATTTCGGGACACTCTACCAGACCCGTAGAAATAAGATTTAGGGTTGGGGATCCGAATAGTGAGAAATATTTCACAAGTAACGAAAGATAGGATTGGTTACGACTCCGAAGGACAAAACCTTCATATAAAAATCTCGTATGACAATGAGAAAAATATGTTTTAATGTTGTAGATCTGAAAACTTCAAAATATATTTTCCAATTAGAATGGTATGAAATGTGCGGGACATGATCCCTGTGACTATTTCTATGGAGGACGAGAAGGATCTGATCAGGGCAGATAAGTAAAAACACCTTTGAAGCAGTGCACATGGACCCTTTTTTAATATATTCATCACAATCATTTTTTAATTCATTTCATAAATGAATGGGCATAACCTGAGTCTTAAAAAAAAGGTATTGTTATGGGGAAAAAGAAAATACATAGTTTTCAGTAGAAATAAAACTAGATGTTCTTAGAATAATAGGCAAATACCAAAATGGCAAAATTCGTCATTTAAAAATTAGAACTACATAAATCACTTGACTGACAATTTTAACCACGTTAACTTACTAATACATCTTGTCTTACTGATCATTACTTCTATTAAAAGTGTCTATCTATCTATTATAGTTTTCAAGATAATAGGCAAAAATAAAAAAAAAAATAGTGAAAATCTTCATATATATCTCCGATAAAGAGTCGACTGATGATTTTGGCCGTAACACTCATTTGTTGATCTTGTAATGCTTAACATTTTTAGGTTTCAACGTTTCTATTTATCTATTATAGTTTTCCAAAAATAGGCAAAAATGGAAAACATGGTAAATATAAAAAAGAAGATGTGGTATGATTGCCAATGTGACAACTCCCCACAAGAGACCAAATGACACAGAAATTAACAACTATAGGTCACCGTACGGCCTTCAACAATGAGCAAAGCCCATACCGCACAGTCAGCTATAAAAGGCCCCGAAATGACAATGTAAACAATTCAAACGAGAAAACTAAAGGCCTAATTTATGTACAAAAAATGAACGAAAAACAAATATGTAACACATAAACAAACGACAACCACTGAAATACAGGCTCCTGACTTGGGACAAGTTCGTCCGTTTAATGGCAATTAATCCATTAAGAAGTCGGATGACGCAAACAGGCAGTCGATAGATCTCAACGTCCTAAACAATTCTGCTGATGTTAGATTTTCTCTATCTAAAGCGGATTTCAAAATATTACACAAAATTTGCATTTTATCCCTATTGTCATTTTAAGCCATGTTGGCCATGTTGGATGTCAGACAGGGCCATCGGACACAATTTGTAAAGTAGATACTTGGATGCCAAGTGATGAGAATCATAAAACCGTACGGCCTTCAACAATGAGAAAACCCATACAGTATAGTCGGCTATAAAAGGCCCCGACATGAAAAATATGAAAAATTCAATTGAGAAAACTAACACCCTAATTTATAATAAAACAATTAATGAAATACAAATATGACAGACAAGGCCCAACGACAATCAATGACTTGAAACAGGCACATAAAGAATGTGGCGGGGTTAAACATGTTTGTGAGCGCACAATCCTCCCTGTAACCTGGGACAGTTGTGTAACAGCACAACATAAGAACAAACTGTAACTAGAGGCTCTCAAGAGCCTGTGTCGCTCACCTGACTCTACTTTGGTTTTAGAAATCATGTAAAGATAGATAAAAATCATAACAGATACCCAAATAATGATTGAGGCCAAATTTGGTTAAATATTGGTCCCGTTACTTAATAAAATATCCTAGTGGCCATTTTGAACAGTAAATCAGCAACAAAGTAGCAACACTTGGTCAGCACTTTCATGTCATGTTTGGTTTCATTCCATTCAGTGGTTCTCTAAAAGAAGACATTTGTATGTATTTCCCGTAGGGTCCTATGTTAAACTAAGTCACCCACTGGCGGCCATCTTGGATGATGGATCGGCTGCAAGGTAACAACACTTGGTCAGCACCTCATTAGGAACATTCATGCCATGTTTTGTTTCATTCCATTCAGTGGTTCTCTAAAAGAAGACATTTGTATGTATTTCCCATAGGGTCCTATGCTAAACTAAGTCCCCTGCTGGCGGCCATCTTGGATGATGGACCGACTGCAAAGTAACAACACTTGGTCAGCACCTCATAAGGAACATTCATGCCATGTTTGGTTCCATTCCATTCAGTGGTTTTCTAAAAGAAGACATTTGTATGTATTTCCCATAGGGTCCTTTGTTAAACTAAGTCCCCCCACTGGCGGCCATCTTGGATGACGAATCGGCTGCAAAGAAACAGCACTTGGTCAACACTTCATAAGGAACATTCATGCCATGAATGTTCCTTATGAACATTCATGCCATGATTGCTTCCATTCCATTCAGTGGTTCTCTAAACGAAGACATTTGTATGTATTTCCCGTAGGATCCTATGTTAAACTAAGTCCCTCACTGGCGGCCATCTTGGATGATGGACCAACTGCAAAATAACAACATTTGGTCAGCACCTCATAAGGAACATTCATGTCATGTTTGGTTTCATTCCATTCAGTGGTTCTCAAAAAGAAGACATTTGTATGTATGTCCCGTAGGGTCCTATGTTAAACTAAGTCACCCACTGGCGGCCATCTTGGATGATGGATCGGCTGCAAAGTAACAACACTTGGTCAGCACCCTATAAGGGACATTCATGCCATGTTTGGTTTCATTCCATTCAGTGGTTCTCTAAAAGAAGACATTTGTATGTATTTCCCATAGGGTCCTATGCTAAACTAAATCCCCTGCTGGCGGCAATCCTAGATGATGGTCCGACTGCAAAGTAACAACACTTCGTGAGCACCTCATAAGGAACATTCAAGCCATGATTGGTTCCATTCTATTCAGTGGTTCTCTAAAAGAAGACATTTGTATGTATTTCCCATAGGGTCCTTTGTTAAACTAAGTCCCCCGCTGGCGGCCATCTTGGATAATGGATCGGCTACAAAGTAACAACATTTGGTCAGCACCTCATAAGGAACATTCATGCCATGTTTTGTTTCATTCCATTCAGTGGTTCTCTTATAGAAGACATTTGTATTACCATCTTGGATGATGGACCGACTGCAAAGTAACAACACTTGGTCAGCACCTCATAAGGAACATTCATGCCATGTTTGGTTTCATTCCATTCAGTGGTTCTCTAAAAAAAGACATTTGTATGTATTTCCCTTAAGGTCCTATGGGAAACTAAGTCCCCGCTGGCGGCCATCTTGGATGATGGATTGGCTGCAAAGAA